TGACGAGTGACCATCGGTCATGTGAAAAGTGATCATATGATTAGTTTGACCAGTGTTGCCAAATTTTTTTCACCTTCCCCCCTAGATTTTTTCAAAAAACGCCTAGTTTCCCTATGTAAGGGGATAAAAAACCTCTGAATTTTTATTCGGTCAAGTTTCGTGTGAATCAGATTTATCAAAATTAAGTTTCTACTACATACAAGCTACGTACTTAGACCATTAATCCCAATGGACGAGTAATGCGCCTAATGCTATGAATAAAAAATCTGTCACTTATGGTGCGGGGGTAGAAAAACTACATAGACAGTACTGCACTACTACTCAATAAAATTTTGTGTCACTACGGCACACACAAATATAAATATCCAACACTATTACATTTTATGCACACATGTAGGTTAAATACATCAATATAGAAAAGTTATGAGTATAAAACGGACAAATTAATAGCGATACTACCATATCGATATTTTATATCGATAATGAATTGGCGGCACTGTCTGTTTTGAAAAAGAATTCAGAAGTTGGTAAGAGTAGTGAAAAACCTTCAACCACAACCCCTAGACTATTATCTAGATGTTAGTGCTGTTAGTCTATGTGACTCTTACAGCTTCATCTGTCTCAGGGCTCTAATTAAAGAAGGGAAAGGTAATGCGGTGAGGATAATGATGAAATGGTTTATGATTTGATATTGTTACCAATCATCATGTCGCCTTTTTAGGCGTTTTTTTTTTGAGCTATCTAACCGCAGTCCGAGAGGGGGAGTGCGGACCCCCGTCTCTGACTGCTCAGCTCGTGTCGGTCGATGGTCTGGGCGGTGAGAATCGTCCAGTAACGCGGGTGTACGGTGTGTACGCGGTGTGAGCTGGACGCGTTCCATAGATTAATTTCGTGATATTAAAACCTCTAAAAAACCTCAACGTCCTCCAAAAACCCCAAGATTGAGGAAACAACCTCTAGATCTGGCAGCACTGAGTTTGACGCATTTGTTTGTCTATGGATGTTTAACATTGCCAGAAAATAGTCACAAGTTTTACTATTACCAACGTAGATATAAATAAAATGTAATAATGAAACCTAAATAATGAATAAAAGGAAAAATAATAGTATTATTTTTATGTTGTGGTGGGATGATGAGATACGAATGGAAGTTGAGGCAAAGAAGAAAGCATGGCTAGATTTACTAGCAACCAAAGCTTGTATTGGCCGTAAGTTAATATTATCTTTTTACATGCTGTATGCTTAAGTTTATATTAAATAAACAAATAAAGAGGAATTTTCTAAATCGGTTGATAAATGATGGAGTTCTAAGCAGTATCGTCTACACAATAAAGTACATACTCCTGATATGAAGTAGAAACATATTTCGAAACTTATAAGTGGATTAATGATTGAGTAATCGTCCCTCCACTTATTAAAACTGAATTCTACTGAACTACTAAAAACAGACCAGCCATTAAAAGCAATATTCCTTCACTAGTAGTTCAAAAACACCGGTTTGAATGGAAAATCTACTAATTTTATATATCATTTTTTATTACCGTAATTTTATAAACCGTTCCGCGATAACAATCATTAAAAAATACAACAGAAATATGCAATTGAAACCAAAACAGATGGGTCGGTTGCGTCCGTAAGCTTAGACTACATAACCCTATGCTCACCCTACACGTGTCCCCCGGGTATTTCTAAATGAGCGACAAAGCCGAAAGAACAGACTCGGCTCCTCCTTGTATGGTAGCGACGTAAAATCTACCCCAGTTCGCACCATGAGGCATAAAATTAAAGAAATGACCCCGAGTTCCCGGCGCCACTTTAATGGGGCAAGGGTGTTAGGGATAAAAGTGTAGAAATAGTCACGTAGAAATCGTCTTCGTGTAGAAAGAAAAAGAACCCCTTCGTCGTATCTCCTCAGTTTCAAGGCACTCACCTTGTTGCCTCAGCCAGTATCGAAATCCTTGCCGTCGACATATTGAGTGACGTGCAGTTTCGTGGTCACTTGGAAGAGAAGGCCAAATTGGCCTCAAAAAAGCTTGGCGTGCTCAGCAGAGCGATTATTTTATGGTCTTTAATAAAAAATAAATTCATTTCGTAATTTTTTGTTTTAAGTAGAAATATATATTTAAAAAAAAATTAGTATGATTAAAAAACTTTATTTCTTCTTGTAAAAATAATTAATTTAAATTAAAATTGAAAAAATCTTATAAAATCTAATTACTAATAATCAGTCGTATTTAACGTACGTAAAGAGAAATAGATGTGTTATGTATAAATGAGACAAAACTAAAAGAAAAGGATACCACTTCACATGGCATGTAACGGTATGCTTACTGGTCTGGTGTAAACGAGCGGGCATACCAGGGAGTCGGTATCATCCTTTCAGAAAGAGTGGGGGGTCAATGTGTGAAAGAGTATGAATGTGTAAGCCCGATGCTGCTAAGTATATGAATGAAAGTGAGCTTAAAGAAGTTGTTTATGCTAGGGGTTTACGTCCCAGACATGTCTAAAAGCCCACTTATATCCGAGAGCAATTTTGGGATATGATAAGGATGGTGTTGATGAAATAGTATAGCGCTACTCCTATTATATAAATATATAGTAGCGGAAATGTAAAATACTATTATGTTAGGAGGTTTTAATGAAAGGTTTGGGATGAATAGGTCTGGTTATGAAAGGATATTCGGAACGTTTGGTGATGAAAGTATAAATGAGAATAGTGTAGACCTCCTCACCATATGTGTGGAAAATAATCTTTTTGTGATGGAACTATTTCTTCCGTCATAAGTAGATTCACATGTATATATGGGAAAAAAGATGATAGAAGCATGATAGATTTAATAATTGTCGACGAAAGAATGAAGAGCGCAGTGGTAGATGCAAGGGTTTATCGGGGGTCCAACGTAGGGACGGATCATACGTCGAATTAGTAGACCACCTATTAAGACCTTGGCGGTATCGGACATCTGTTCTGTGTCTACTACTGCGACTGCGTTCCAGCTTACAAGAATAGAAGGTTACAAGATGAAGGTGTGAAAGATAAATATAAATTTAGACTGAGGGAAAACGTTAGGGGTTTGAATGAATGATTTAGACTTGAAGACTGTGTGGGGTAATGTTAAGAAAGGTTTGGTGGATGCAGCCACCGAAGCATATGGTGTAAGTAAGAGAACGAATGAAAGGCAAAATAAAAGATTGTGGTGGGATGATGAGGTATGGATGAAAGTTGAAGCAAAGAAGAGAGCATTGCTAGATTTACTAGTAACCAAGGCTGGTAATTCTGGCGGCATGAATGACGAGATAGAACGAAAAAAGGCAGAGTTTAGACGTCTAAATAAGCATTCATTTTACAAGCAAGCACATTACGCATTCATTTCATTCGAACGTGTACCTTTATAAAATATACTGTAAAGAAAGAGGGTAAAGAACTGAGCCTTGTGGAAGACCGAGAATTCGAGACAAGGCTATGAGGTAGGAAGAAATTATTTAGCGATACGAAGGCGTTCCCCTCTGTCAAAGTACAAGTCCACGCGGTCCAATCATATGTACAATAAAACAAATTGCAGCTACACCGCTCACTAGACTAAATGTAGTTAGGCGGCTAAATCAACGTACTACAAAAATGACGAATTGTTTAGTGTTTTGCTGCAAAAAGAGATCTACCACGTAAAATTTACAATAAGATCACGATCACGTCAAATTTAAAAAGACGTTACATTTCATATATAAGTAATTTTAATAACATTATTTCTATTTACTTCTTTTAAACTTAAAAATTACAATGGAAACGATCTTGTTGTTTGGACTTCGTGTTGATCGAGCGACTGATCCATGTCTGTATTGGAGTCGATGCCACCGAGCGATACTTTTATAATGTATCTGTGTGTGTATGAAAGTAAGCTTATTGTTTTATTTGTTATGGGTGAGTTTCATAGTGACAGATGATTGTTTTAGTGTGCGCAGATTTCCGCCTGCAATAAATTATATACAATTCAGTCTTGGGGAAAAACACTATTGCTACTCCTCTCCGGTGTTTCGTTGGTCCGTGTTGCTCTACGACTTACGGTAAAACATATTCTGCCTTGTTGATATGAAACGAAGCATCTTTTTTATTAGCTGAGGCAGACATCAAGAAATAGTTTTTATGATGCTAAACAAAGTTACAATCGAATAGAATAGTTCAAACAAAATTTAATATGCTTGGTTTGATCCTTACGTTATTAATCGTCTACTTGTTATTCGCATTACTAGCTAAAATATTTTAAACAACAACGTTAGAAGCTTTCTAGGTATTCGGATGTTAATTCTATATACATAATGCCCACAGAAATCTAAATAATAAGAATAATGCCACAGAACAACAATACACATCCTTCGAGTTTACGAATAATTTATTAGGTAATTATTTTAAAAGTTACTTATAAATAAAAGACTTTAAAGATCACTATTTAAAAGAAAGATGTTAAGCTAATAATGTGTAACTTTTTCATTAAACTTAAAAAAATAGAGACTTGTCAAAATAATTATATTTCTCTCTTTATTTTGTCATTTCCTATAGAGTCAATAGAATACTTTTAGGTTACGTAAATAAAAAGATGCGTTTTATTTGTTCAATAATTTCCTTTTTAATACTGGGATCCTGTAAAGGAGACCATGGTGTTGTACCAGTATTTTTATTGGATTATGAACGCGTTATGAAACATTTGAAGATAGAACCAAATCCATTCTCGAGAATAACGACTACGTTTTTCACGGATGTGATTCAAGATGTTATTAAATATAGCAATATCGCTGTTATATTTATCGAAAATACATTTTCTCCAGAGGATATAAGTGCGAAAGATAATAAAGGAACAGTATTCTCTCACTTAAAAGATGCGTTGATGCATAATCAAATTAAATATTTTCCAGCCGTCGTAGAACCTTACAAAACACTTAGGCAAACGTATCAATTACATGATTTAAACATTTTCTATATAAAGGATACAAATACGAAGATAAAAATGTACGATGCTAATTATAAGCATTTTTATGTTTATTTCGTTGACGGGCCAAATGAAACCAGGACTGATGTACTAAAAAGGCATGATTCAATTATCAAAGAAGTTTATTCTGCTGTTCAACAACTTGCCTCTGGCCCTGTTGTGGCATTGTATACCGGCAAAACGAATCCGATCAAGATTCAAAGGGTAGGAGTCGCGCCGTTAAAACGACATGTTACTTCTCCGAATCCAGGTGTAATAGTAGAAAGTAGGGGTGCATTATTTCGTTTTATTGGTAAGTGCTCCTACTTGTTTGCGAAAAAAATAACTTTAAAAGTGTTGCCATTTAAAAAGCAAAAACTGACTGCACACATGTGTGCAATTCACGCGCGGTAGAAGTGAGTTTAAAAAAACACCATTTACTATATTATATCTCATTCTCTCCCAATCTCAATCCTAAACATGTACGTATTGTCTCTTTTTCGTGTCATTGAACTTCATACCACAACGATTCTAAAGAATTTTTCACTTCAAAAATAATAAACCTTCCTCCTTTGATATGTATATGTATGATAAGGGGTTTCATCAGTTATATCTCTAATAACATTATTAAAAAAAAACATATTGTTCTTGCCAGTATAGACTTTTGAAAATGAATTAGCCTTTTATGGCTGCAACACTATTAAGTCTCGGACCGCCCGTGAAAGGACCAACGCTCGCATAGCGTAACACCATGAAATATCAGCGCAGTGCTGTTGCAATACGTAAATCCGTAGACTGTAAAACTGCCCAGAACTAAATATTCCCCAGAGTCAAGATGTTTTGCCTCAACACTTAATATTAACCATTAACTAAAAGCCTATCGCTATGTACGTAAAACTTTTGGAACATGTTTGCCTGCACCACGAACATTGACTGAGTGGTACAGTACCATCGATGTCTGACCAGGGTTTACTCAAGAAGCGCTGACGGCGTTGAAATTGAGAGCGGAGAGTAACCCTGATAAAAAAATTGTACCTTGGTCATGGATGAAAAGAAAATTAAACAATTTACGGAATAACATGCGAGCAGTCAATGGCATTATGGCTATGTCGACTTCGGGTTTGATAGGAATCTTTCTAGATGTTAGTGCTGTTAGTCTATGCGACTCTTACAGCTTCATCTTGTCTCAGGGCTCGCGACCTGAGATAGGGATAGGGAGTGATAAAAACGGGAGACTCTTTTTACTCAGTCCTCAAGGCTGACAATGCATCTGCATTTAGATTTTTAATCCAGACGCAGAGTATGTGGCCGTGTAAGGAAAAGGGGAGATCTCCTACCGGGCAAGGTGTTCTACCCGGGGAGCGGCCAACACTCTGTGTGATAGTTCGGAAATGTTCTATATATACTGTTTATGATTTGGAATTTTGATAGCGTGATTTAGGCTTCGGTGGTTTCGCTTGCGGCGCGACGACAGCGTCGCCACATCACCCCCCTGCTCAGACCGGAGGTCGATAGTGCAGCCTCGTTGCCGACGAATGTGCAAGTGCCAGGAGATTGCCTTGTAGTCTGCGGTGAGTCGAGAAGGCAAGTAATCTGCGAGAGTGCTGTGAAGCAGAGGCGAGCAGTGAGGCTCAGAGCCGTGCGGAACACTGTATAGCGCAGAGAGTACCTTGAAGGAACAGGAAGCATTATTATTCCAGTGCTGCGATGAACCTCGTGAAGCTAGATGGCTTGCAGGATATGAAGACTGCAGACGATATCTGCTCGGGAGCGAATGGGTGGGGTATTTTATGACGATGATGAAGCTTGAAGTTTCCGAAGGTTGTTAGTTGCATGTTCAGATCACGTCGGGGTTACCAATGTGGCCGTTTAAGGAAAAGGGGAGATCTCCCGTCGGGCAAGGTGTTCTACCCGGGGAGCGGCCAACACTCCGTGTGATAGTTCAGAAATGTTCTATATATACTGTTTATGATTTGGAATTTTGATAGCGTGATTTAGGCTTCGGTGTGTTTTGCTTGCGGCGACGACAGCGCCGTCACAAGTATATAGGCTACAGCATCTACTACAGATGAAGTTTGTGCTCGTTTGTCATCTTAACGTCACAACCTATATATATCCCAATCTTGGGCACAGATATCTCATCAGACTCATTTCTAAGAGAGTTTTAGGGCAACAAAATGTCCACTACACTTGCTCAGTTCTCACCACACGAAACACAGCGGCATTAAGCTGTTATTTTACGTTGGTATTCTGAGAGAGCGTGGTCCCTCCCCGGTCGAGCGGACCCATTCGTGCTACAACCATAACATGGCTGCAGTATGGCTCTACCACGCAAGGAGACCAATGTTATGAGATGTCTCGCAATAGCGACTGTCACGTGTGACGCATCGCAATCTGTGTGACAGAGCGGGCCCGGCGGGCGCAGCGCCTTTTTCTTATTCATCAGCAAAATAAATTAGCGGGTCGCAATTTGTAATGAGTTTGGGAATCCTCCGTTTTTATTAAGTCTCGTACTGTATACTATGATAATAATATGATAGATGAGATCTAAGGACTAAAGAGGAGGGTGTAAGGCAAGACTGATGACAGATCACAAACTGTCTGCCGTCCGTTATCTGTTACAGCCTATTAAAGTCAACATAGTCCTCCCCCATAGATTGTCTTATAGGGGGGATATTTGCCATAGTTGCCACGCTTAGCAAGCGGGTTAGCTGCCGCAGTTTTTTTAAATTTTAATCGTTATTAGAAAAACGCTACTGAACATCTGATTTGTTTCCCTCTGTCGCCGTTTACGACACCCACGGGATAATATTATGTAGTATTGGATATTCTTACACCGCCACTACACGAATCTGTCTGCAATTCAAATGAATACGGCGTAAAACTAAAAGTGCTGGCATATCTTTTGCTCAGGTGTGTACAGTTCAACTGCAAGCCGTTATGCAAGGTTCAGTCAGATCCCGGTTGTAGAGGAAGAGACCTGGACGCAAAGGCAACTGTCCACGAAAGTCGCCTACAGTGATTTTGATTTGCAGTTCAACTTCTCGTTCAAAAATGACGGCTGGACTGTGGGTAAGTAAACTAATAATAATGACGTCCAGATTGAGCTTCGGTCATGGCGGGCAATCTCAACGGTGATTAGCCATCTGCGCAGAACAGGATTATATTGTACTCACTATCATAGTCCGACACATAGAATACTATAATACATACATAATAGAACGGGGGAGTAGGCGGAGCCCGCGTAGCCACTAAAATGTCACTAACACGTCAATTCACACGTTTAAATGTCAACACGAGATGTGTGTTGACGTAACAATCGTTTCCTAATTTCGCATGCGAATTATTTGGAAAATACCAAATTGCATCCATTTTACGAATAAAAATGTATTAAAATTCAAACGATTTTTTTAATGGTGATCTTGAACATTAATCAAAAGTCTAAAATATGTAAATTTATTCCGTCTGTCAACACAGCTAATCGGGTTTGGCGACGCCAATCATCGTACAAAATAAAGATGACAGCCATTCTATTGTGTATTACAGTATTCTGTGGTCCAACAGGACAGCAATGCGACATGCCAGGAGAGAAATCAGACACAGGATTAACAACTTTACGTGCTTTCCGCTAATATCTTGGCAGGAAAATCCAATTACTGATTTTTTGCCCGACTTAACCCTCTCACGCTTCAGTTTGGTCTAACTGAGGTTGGAAGCCAATCTCTTTCACATTTACCATAGCCGCCTCTTACGTCGCCCACGGGAAGACATGGGTTTTTTCGCCGCCACCCCACCTTTGGAGAACATTGCATGAAGTGATGAACTAGGTTTCACATTTTTCAAAACCAGCAAAATCATCAAGAGGTCCTGCAGCATAAAGCCGAGCATTATCTAAGTTCTACACGTCGAGGTGACTCTTAAGCGCTCATAAAATCATGGTCTCATCGATCCATCCATAAAAGACTTCTGCTGAACTTAGACGTCCCTCCTAGGCTCGCTTATAGGCGAGATTCTTTGATTGACGCGCTTGGCAGGCGCGATGATAACCACAGTTTTGTGTTATCAGGAAGATGCTGCTGCCCATCTCCTGTTTCATTTTCCCTCTGTCGCCTGCTACGGCACCCGCGGGACGATATGAGGCATTGGATATTTTTACACCGCCACTACACTATGTATGTAATGTGGAATTGAAATGCATAATATAATATAATATAATGTCCTCCAGACCGAATTTCGGCCACGGCGGCCTGCCTCAACGGAGGCTAGCCAACGGCGCAGGACAGGATTATAGTGCCTAACTGTATGCGCAAGCACAGGTGCACTCTCTATTCCCTCACTCTCATAATCCGACGGGACGGTAAACCGACACGACCGGAGAGAGATCAGGCGCAGGACCAACGGCTTTACGTGCTTTCCGAGGCACGGGGGAGAGACACCGCCAACTTCCTGACTCCGGGCAGCTACTGAGAATTTCTTGACAGAAAAACTCAATAATTAATTTTTTGGCCCGACCCGGGATTCGAACCCAGGACCTCATGATCAGCAGTCGCACTACTACAGCCGTTAGAGCAACGAGGCAACAAGAGAAATGCATAATATGCAATCTGATAATACAAATTATATGGTTAGATAACGTGGCCCTCCTCGAAGGCGGCGAGGAGGTGGGGCATTCGGAGATGGGTGTAGGAGCACCCTGGGACTGGTCATACGTGTGCAGCGAGCCGTTGGTGGTGATCAATACGCGAGACGGCAGTGCGGTCACTATCTCTCATTACCAGGTTATTATACATTTTTATTTTTAAGAATAATGTCCTCCGGACTGAATTTCGGTCACGGCGGCCAGTCTTGAGACTAACCATCTGAGCAGGACAGGATTTATAGTTCCCGAGTGTACGTGCAAGCACAGGTGCACTTTCTATTCCCTCACTCTCATAGTCAGTTGGGACGGTTATCCGACACCACCAAAGAATAATCAGGCGCAGGACCAGCAGCTTCACAGCGTCTCCGGGCTGCTGCTGAGAATTTCTTGACAGAAAAAACCTAATGATTTTGGCCTGAACCGGGATTCGAACCCGGGGCCACATGATTAGCAACCGCCTTTTCGACCACTAGACCAATGAGGCAATCATTTTATTTTTGTCTACTTTACAGAAAACATACGAGCCGCCATCTTAGGATATTAGCACAAAGTCGATACCCGTCAGCAGCTCGATCAACGTCAACTATGGTTCATAAAAGATAGCTTGATCTCTGCGACAGCTGTCAAAGTAAAATCACGCCTATGAAGTCCTCAATTTCTTAGTAGTACGTACAGTACCTGTCAATGTCATACTTTATGGGCATGCCGACCTAATTAGTGCATGCCCATAAAGTATGACATTGACAGGTACTGTCTGTACTACTGAGAAATTGAGGACTTCTTAGGCGTGATTTTTACTGACAGCTGTCGCAGAGATCAAGCTATCTTTTATGAACCATGATCCATTCTACCTTCGATTGGTGCCATCGATCGATTGATGTGGCAACACCCTAAAAAAGCCTTACCGTCTGTTTACAGTTCAATTAGAAAGCATTTTACTTGTTGAATTTTCAGATTCAACCTTTTCAGCGAAGCGGACGCTCTGACTACAATGAGGATTGGTCCGACTTCATCAGGGCGGATGAAGGCGATGCGGCTGCAGCTTCAGAGAAACCCCCTCCAACCGATCCTAATCCCAAACCCCAACCAGCACCCGATAAAGTCGCGCCAAACACACCGAAAAGTTTCGGTAAATCGGTGAATTGCGGACCGTATTTCAACTCGGTTATCCTTGCGGGACTCTTCGTCACGTTTATATGTCTCGGTATTCTCGCGTGTGCGGTGACCGCTGTTTACAATTGTCACTCGAATGACAAGTATGACGATCCACAGGGCAAGGCGTTAACAATTACCGGCGAGCGTAGGCATTGAGCAGTGCTGGGAGTTTATGGCGCTCTCTATAATTTTTCGCGAAAATTTACCAAACGGAATCATAAACGAGATCACATTGCCTCGGTGCTCGGCGGATTTCTTAGAAAGTATTTTAAGTAGACGTATGACATTCGGCAGTTATAAAATGCAATTTTTGTAATATTTAAAGATCAAAAATGAGGACAATTAAACAGCCTGTATATACAGTATAACTTAATTTATTCTGAATATTTCATTATAAAAATTTGGCCCTTAAAAAATGTGGGCGGCAAATACATAATAAGAATAGGTTTATGAACAGATCTATTGTTGTCGCGCTGTGCCTGAAGCGAGAACCCTGAACGATCAAGCTAGACAACCGACAGCTAGGGTTGCCAACTTTATTTTTGAGTAAATAAAGTATATATACTTTTCTTAGCTAAATTGTTTATTTGATATGCTATCTTATACACACAATATCTTAAAGTATAAGTTAAGATTAGGTAATCTCTGTCCCTTTCATCACATCACCTAACACTCGTCAAAGAATAAACTGTAAATAAAGCTTAAATGACGGGAATGAATATCAAAAATGACACAATATATAGATTTACAAAATCGTTACTACATAGAAAAAAGATTTTGCGTGTATATAATTGGATTTTTTACTAAACATTAAAATAAAACCTTGAAAACTGTCAAATTGGTAAAATAAAATAATCACGTAATATTATTTTATAATATTATTTATCACGTACTTCTTTAGTCTTATAAAATATAAAGCACGTTTTCCCAAAATAACGTAACATACTTTATTATAAAGTACGGGTGGCAACCCTAGAGACAAATACATTTCGGCTTGATTATACCCACAAAGTAATAAGAAGTGTTAGATCTAGATTATAACAATGACGAAATCATCATTTCGTGTTCCCCTGTTTCATTCCGTACTGGACAGATTTGAATTATTTTTTCAAGGACATTATACGAACGTTATTTGTATTTATGTTTCTTTAATTTTTATGTTCGTTATATTGGTTTCCTGGATGTCTATTGGTGATGATTTTTTAAATGGTGAAGTGAACATGCAACACTCTGGTCTCTTATAGATAGCAGCGTAAAACAGCAGAATACTAGAGACCTTTTTTATAAAATTCGGTACTTACAGTCATTTACCATATTTTTTATTATAAAAATATTTGCCGCAACGGCTTTGACCGAGTTTCTATTGAGTCAAAAATTTCAGTCAGTACACATTTTTTTATAAAACGCTTATAACTTGTGCACCAGCTCAAGCGTGACAAACGCATTTCCATTTATATAGATGTAGATAGACGTCTATGAGCCACAGGGCTTTATACGTAGTAGAGCCGTGCTGCAGTTATATTGGTAGTATAGTTGTAGCACGAATGGGTCGGCTCGACCGGGGAAGAACCACGCTCTCACAGAATACCAGCGTCAAATAGCAGCTTAATGCTGCTGTGTTTCGTATGGTAAGTGTAGAGAACCGGCGACCTTTTTTACTGGAAATAAGACATTCCATCTTGGTCCTCATGGGTAACAACGCATCTGCATTTTTATTCGTAATCGAGGATAGGTGTAGATATCTATGGGCCACAGCAACCACTTACCATCAGGAGGACTGTGTACTCGCTCGTCAATCTAATTCCGTAAAGATAGGATCCGTTTTAAAAATTAATTTGTGAAAAATTAACATGAATAATTACATTTGTATGAACTAAACACCATCCTCATATCGTTAAAAGGATCGTTCAGAAAAACTAAATAAAATCACATTGAACGTTGAAAATAGTCAGAATATTATATTAGGTCTTCTTTACCTATGAAATTGCCGTATTTTTATGAAATAAGTAACGGTGCTGTTTTTTATGTTTTTTTAATTCTATTAGTCAATGTAATCACCCATGTAATAGATGTATATTTGAAAACGCAGTGGCAGTTTATTGATGGCGTTCTTAAAGAAATCAGCCGGACGAGAGCCAACAAATTCTTCAAAGGCATTTTGTACTGCTTCTCGAGTATTGATTTTTTTTCTCATCAAAAAGTTATCCAAATTCTGGAAAAAGTAGAAGTCTGTAGGCGCAAGGTCTGTTGAGTGCGGTGGATGACAGTTAGCTTTTAACCCTAGCGTTTGTAACTTGGAGACCGTCTGTTGCATAGAATACTATAATACACATACATAATAGAACGAGGGAGTGAGCGGAGCCCGCGGAGCCACTAAAATGTCACTAACACTTCAATTCACACGTATAAATGTCAACATGAGTTGTGTTTTGACGTTACAATACTTTCCAAATTTCACATGCAAATTATTTAGAAAATGCCAAATTGCACGCTATTTACAAATAAATATGTATTAAAATCCGTCTGTCAACACAGCGAATCGGCTTTGTATTAGTGATTAACTGATAATACGACGTAATTGCTTGTATGTGTGCCCCCGGCGACACCTATCCTTGTACAAAATAAGGTTGACAGCCATTCTATTGTGTATTATAGTATTTTATGGTCTGTTGTGCAGTATGCGGTCGCGCGTTGTTGTATAGGAGCAGCGGGGACAAGCGATTGACCAAAGTTGGTTGGAGACGTGCGTCTCCATCATTGTGTTCAGTTGTTCACAGTACACATTTGCAATGCTCATCCTGTTTGGTAAGAAGCTTTGATGAATCACACCGGCGCTAGACCACCAACCAGTGACCGTCACTTGTCCAAAAGGGTAAGTTTTCGTTTAAGGCATTGTTTAGGTGCTGAACCAGGATCCAACCAACTTGCTGAGCGCTTGCAATTGTGAAACAGAATCCATATTTCGTCGCAGGTAACAATGCGGTTCAAAATTCCTTCGTTATTGTGCCTGTTGAGCAGTGCAAGGTACTTCTCGACGCCTACTTCGCGCTGGCGATCATTAAATTAGTGGGGCACCCTTTTGTCAAGCTTTTTTACCTTGCCAATTTGACGCAAGTGGACCAATATTATTTTAATGGTAACGTCGAAAGCTGCTGCTAATTCAGCCGTAGATTGAGATCATCAGCTTCCACAATAGCCATTAATTCGTCATTGTCAACCAGTTTTCGGACGACATCGGGGTTCATTTTTCAGGTCAAAATTTCCAGAACGGAAGCGGGCAAGTTAATGACAGGAGGAGCGTTCGCTTGTAGTATTTACTCCGTAAACGTCGTTGATGTTGATGTTGCGTGCCACTTTTGCCGCGTTACTGCCATTGATATATTTAAAAAGGGGTTACAGCCACGATGGTATTCATATTCCATAATTACTAGATATTTTAACATATCCACGATGACGAAAAATATTCAAATGCTATAAAAATATAACGCTAATCGATAAACAAACGACTAACTTTGAAAAAAGAATTCTATGTTTTAAAAAAATAAAATTAATTTGAGATTAGTCAACCAAATACATTTTGACAGCTGTCAGACTTATTGCATCAGGCATGCCAATCAAAAAATGGGAACGTATAATATTCGATTCTTAATAAAATCGATAATTTAGATTTGGTAATCATTTACAGTTTGGTTTGAATAATACCAGAATAAATTTAAAACGGATAATTTAAAACACAAGATTTATCAGTTTCTACGTATTTGTCGTTACTGCTTATTTCTAGAGGCACAGTTATAAAAATTTAGGACTAAAACTAGATTAAAAATAAATTTATTTAATCACTTTCAGTACAATTAGCTGTCGCTGTTTAGATTAATTATTATTTGTTTTTCAATAATGCAGTCAAAATTAATATCTCTATCAAAGTCATCCATAATAAATTTTTTTGTGTTTTTTTACCACTTTTGCCCAAATATCTTTTGTAACATGGGCACATGCTTCAACGAATATAGAAGAAACAAATTTTTTGTGTTTTTTTACCACTTTTGCCCAAATATCTTTTGTAACACGGGCACATGCTTCTAACGAACATAGAAGAAACAGTCCAAAAAGTTAAAGCCGAATCACAAAATAAGAAGACAAACACAAAATCACAAAATTAAGCATAAGTAGTAAGGTCACGAAATAGCAAAACAAATTTACGTAGACAAATTTAAAAAAACAAACTTGTTTTATTCATGATTCATGTAATTTAAGGAATTTAAGGAATTTTAAAAATAAAAATTAAATTAAACAAATAAAAATAATACATTAAAAAATTAATGATTCGATTATTTGAATATTTTTGCCGATTATTCGCATAACAATGAATTTTAATCATCCAAACACTACGGTAATGTACATAGCGACATATTATTGAAACGACGTCAAGTAAAAAAAGTTGATACCGGTCATTTTTTTATTATTTTGCTTTGTTTGAAAGATTCAAATTTAAACTAGTGGTAAAAAACTATACACGTTGTAAAGATAACTTCATAATTCTTCGGATTTGCGCAAAAGGTTATTTTAAATCGTGTGAGTACGCTTGTGCAAAGTTATTGCTGAATGATTAATGTGAAACGTCAAAAGGTATTTCTTAGATTTGGTTGACTATAATAAAGAATTCTTAAGCCAAACAAAAATTATTTTGATTTGAAATGGTCAGTACCGCAAAACGGCAAGGTAAAAACCAAATTCTATTACAACGCATATTCATTTTGATTCTTAATAGGAAATAGGTTTATTGTGGGCTAGCATTTTAGACTGTTTGCCTGTGGGTCAACTTTCACTGTATAAAAATACACTGGGGGCTATAATTGTGGTACGGAACACTAGTAGTGCAAATATTATTAGCTTGCAGGTTATATTATTTACTTTAATGGCTTCAGTATGTCAAAACTTGTTTCTTTTAGTTATTATAACATTAACTTTCTTTGTAAGGTATTATTATTATTTTATGTTAATGAAAATACTGATAAATAAGAATATAAAATTACATTACATAAGAATATGTTGTAATTAATATCCAAACTTGAAATAATAAATTAAATTAAGTATGTAAAATGCTTTTTATTATTTTTAATAGTTTTGATACTGTGGTAGCACAGACACTTTAAATGGGAGCAGAAAGTTTAATATAGGTTAGTTTATTATAGGCTTATTAGGTAATAAGCAGATACTGTGTAATCTATGACAGGAGTTTTGGCGAGAATTTACCGCCGGTGGTGTTGTTTTTGTTTTATCGTTTAGAAAAACAAAGAAAACTGGACTGCCAGTCACCCAGGTGGTATAGCTGGTATGGTATCACGAGTTTTGTTGCGATGTGCGATGGTGAAATTGTGTGGCTGGAATTAGTCCAAATAATTCCTCAGAGGACTCCTCGTGGTAAATGCGATAAAATATGCAGAGATACAACATCTCTTCACAGTGCCAGTGAATCAAACCGATCGGAAAGAGCTCGGTCGCCGGCGATTCGAACAGCTCTGCGCTGGATGTGATCAAAATGCAAGGAGCTGGCACTGAGACAGCATACTATACTGTACTTTTTATTATTAATTAAGATTTTTAGCGTGAATGCCATGTCTTCATTTTATTCGGGATCTTCGTTTTTTTAAAGATGTTTTCTTTACATGCTGATGTTTTTGGGAGATTTTTAAGGCCGTTCAAGTCAGCGGACAATCGATGACAGTCGATGAGTCACTCAAGTCATAAGGAGCTAAAGCGACCATAATAACTTGAGTGTTATATCAACATCAAAGCACTTGTGTCGTCGTTTTCTCTAATAGTTCACATACTTATGCCCAAAAAACTTAATTCACAAAATCGGATCACTTTTACGTATCAAAATCCATTTCAAACCATTATTTAAATGATAAAACAGGAGCAACAATCCGCCGACGGGTCAGTTTCCGTCAAAACTCTTGACAGTACTTAAGTTGTCCTGAACATCGATATCAGAGTTCATAATGTGACACATCAACATACTTATCGTGAAGAAATTTTACAAAATAATTTTGAGGATAATTTCCTATTACGTGACGTTGACAAAAGTATAAACGTACGCTATAAGCAGGAATGCTACCGGGCCTGGGCTGACGCATCAACGTCCCGTGTTGTAAACACCAGCGCCCTTAAAAAGAAGTATAATTCCGCCTCCAGGTCCTTCAAAAGAGTCATTGCCAAGGCAAGGTCAGAGCACGTAGGCAAAATTGGCGAGAAACCAGTTGGCCTTTCCTCGGGAACTCGTGTATTCTGGTCTTTCGCCAAGACTGTCTAAGGGAACTTCTGCCAGCCAACTCTCTCACCTCTGCACAGGTCCTCTACACACTCCATGTCGGATGTGTGGTTTACGCAGCGCTCGGTTCGCAAAACACTCCTCTCCCTGGACGTCAACAGGTCGAGTGGGATCCCTCCAATTGCGCTGAGCATGTGTGCTCCAGAGTTGGCACCGGTTCTAACGCATCTTTTCCGGTATTCTTACTCGCTAGGCGTAGTCCCGAATTCGTGGAAGACAACTTTCGTGCATCAGATCCCTAAAAAAGGTAACCACTCCCACCCATCCAATTACAGGCTTAATGCTATCATCACCTTGTTCTCGTAAATAATGGAGTTCATAATTAACTTCAACCTCATGCTGTATCTTGAGGAGCACCAGCTGCTTAGTGACCGCCATTACGGTTTCCGTCGAAGTCGCTCAGCTGGTGATCGTCTTGTTTACCTAGCTCATAGATGGACGGAGGCAGTAGACTCCAAGGGCCTCCCCCTTACTATACCATTGGCCGTTAGTTTGGACATTGCAAAGGCCTTTGATCGGATTTGGCACAAAGAGCTTCTTGTGAAGCTACTTTCCGATGGGCTTCCCGAGAAATTGTGCAATGGTGTCACCAGCTTTCTTGCAGCTCGGAGCATCAAGTTCGAAGTATACGGCGCATGCCACGATTACAAGCCTATTAATGCTGGTGTTCCAGAAGGCTGCGTGCTATCACCGACGCTGTTTCTTGACGCTCGGATTGGGGGCAACTAAATCTAGTCCAGTTCAATCACCAGAAGATACAAGTGTGCGCGTTTACCAGTCAGTTTCAAGGCACTCTCCTTGTAGCCTCAGCCAGTACCGGAATCCGTGGCGTCGACATATCGACCGATGTGCAGTGGTCACCTGGAAGAGAAGGCAAGGAAATCGGCCTCTAAAATGCTCGGCATGCTCAGTAGAGCGGGATAGTATTTCAAGCCGGCACACCGTCTACAACTTTATAAGTTGCAGGTTTGGCCTCACATGGAATGCTGTTCCATCTCTGGGCCGAGACTCCCCAGTGCCAGCTCCTTCTACTTGGCCGCAGAGCGTCTCGATACATCGATGACCGTGTCCTCCACGGTCGGCTCGATTCACAGGCGCTGCGAAGAGATGTTGCAACCCTTTGCATCTTCTATCGTATATACCACGGGGAGTGCTGTGAGGAATTGCTCGGATTAATCACAGCCGCCAAATTCAACACCCATCTGGATACTTGGCGGTTCACCAATGTACGTTTCACTAGGAGTTTTTTTCTTCGTACGACCTCTCTGTGGAATCATACCACCGGCGATTTTTCCGGACCGATACGACTTAGGGACCTTGAAGAAAAGAGCTTACTCCTTTCTAAAAGGCCGGCAACGCACACCCTGGTGTTGCGGTTGTTCATGGGCGGCGGTAGGCACTTAACATCAGGTGAGCCGTATGCTCGTTTGCCCCCTATTTTATAAAAAAAAGTCCATAATCCAAGGGAAAAAATCTAGAGCAGGAATAGGTCGGTTTAAATGGGAAAGGACCAACTATGCTCGCACTATCGTTGTAAAATGTGACCAACAGGTACAAGATACCCTTTTATGGGTATCTTGTACCTGTTGGTCACTCGATGGGCGATTAACACTATTTAGTCGATTGTTGTATCAGGGTTAAGAGAAGTACTCTGTGATAGCTTAAACGTTAAAGTTACAGCCTATATACGTCCCACTGCTAGGAACAGACCTCTCATTTCTGAGTTTCAGGGCAAGGAAGTGCCCGCCGCGCTGCCCCAATGCGTGCTGGGGAACATCGCATGTCTGCGAAATATTTTTCTTATTTCTCAGACATGCAGGTTTCCTGACGATGTTTTCGTTCAACGCCGAACACGTGATAAATCAGCACTTAAAATTGCTATTAACAATTTCATTGGTGCCGGCGGGATCGAACCCGAGTTGTTCGCGTACTGTGAAATTTAGAGCGAGCGTTATCTGAGCCACGGTTCTCACAGCCTTGATAGCTTAGTTGTACTTATTTACCTACATAAAGTATTCCGCGATACCACAGTTTAAAGAATAACAGTTGGGAAACGAATGTACTTGTGCACAGCAACGGAGGGGGCCTTGGGGAGGGGTACAATATTTGCCAGCGCACTGCACTGAGTGGTTTTCACAATGTTCTCGAGTAACAGCCACGTACCGGCAGGCGAAGTGTAGGGCGTCCCCCCACTAGATGGAGTAACGACCTGGTAAGACATGCAGGAAGTCGATGGATGCAGGTGGCTCAGGACCGTGCTTTGTTGCATTCCTTGGGGGAGGCCTATGTTCAGCAGTGGAACTTGTGAAGATGATATTGGGCAGTCATGACTAAATAATAGTGGTTATATATAGTTTTTGGGCATAACCTTAACCTTAGCGTAGAGTAGAGTGTAGAGTTCACGTAAGGATTCATATCGTTACTGGTTTGTAGAAAGAGCGAATATACATTGTACGCAGTTTTGTATAACAAAATAATTTGATGATTAAATTAGTAAATTGCATAATAAAAGCGAATATGACATATCAGATTATTCTTCGTAACAAATAGGCGATATTCGCCGTTACACATTTATTTTATTTTTTGTTCGCTGTTACTACAAATCGATTGAAAACAACGATTTCAAAAGGAAGGATAGGCCCTTCTAAATATTTTACACATAAGGCATGCCGCGCACTAGGCAGCCTGGCTGCGCAGCCAGGCTGCGACGGCCGTTTGACAGCCAATGGACAGCGAGTTGCTATCCTTTTTTCGAGGGATATGGACGTGGAAGAACTTGTAATTTTGTGCGTATCTCGTAAAAAACGCAAAGTTAAAAGACATTGGATTCATCCTCTTTTTCTAGAACGGCACTCAAAAGGCTTATTTTATACCTATTTTAAAGATGTTCGTAAATACCCAGACCGGTTTTTTAACTACACGAGAATGTCAGTGCAATCATTTGATAACCTTTTGGAAAATATAATAAATTCAATCAAGGGCACTGATACTCCTATGCGAGCTTGTATAACTCCAGAAGAAAAATTGGTGATTACATTGAGGTAAGTGCTAAAATAAAAAATACTGTTAATTGTTTATAACATTTATTTTTTATATCTTACATTTATGGTAAAGAATTTTCCTGAAATAGTTCAAGTAATTCAGAATTCTGAGACGTATCTGTCACATTTGTGTCAGATGGAGATAACACCTCAGTATATCCGGTATTGTCTTGCTTGTCTGGAACAGACGCAGAATATGCACGGCGGTTTTCACTGCTCGAGGCTTCTGGCCCATAACTTGACTGTGTCGAGTATCCATGGCGATATTGCCCACTGCTCGAGACCGGCCTATATTCATTTATATTTATGGCGATATTGCCTACTGCTCGAGTTTCCCGGTCCATATTCAGTCGAGTATACATGGCGATACTGTCCACTAACCGATGTTTCTGGTCTAAATAATCTGGCGGTTGATGTCCCTGGTTCATAATCAACATGACCTTGGCGAAACACACCAAATTCGGAATTGTAAGTTTCCATAAAAGGCATTTGAGCTGTTTTTATTACGTCAATTAACTCCATTCTCGTAGAAAGTTTACGACGTTCCGGAATGTTTTTAAAATCTTCTAGAAGCGAAAGCATAAATAGTCTATCTGAATCAGATTCTTGCTTTCTTTCACGCTCTTCCCTTATTGCGATACTTTCCTTTAATACTTGAACCAAATTTTCGTCGTCACATGTGTTCTTCTTTTTGGAAACGGGTCGTTTATCTTGAATACAATCGCTGTCATCGTTGGTTTCCGCAGGGCGCGTTTCACCCATGCTATTTTGAGTTTCATTATTTATTACAGTGGCCTTAAGAAACTGTAGTTGTTCGAAATATACGTAAGGACTCTTACACGAAGCTCTACTTTTAGCACCGGCTCTGCGTTTTACTTCCCTGCTGTAACTAGTCCTGATATTCTTCCACTTTTGCTGTAGAGATTTACCTGAAAATTAATATAAGTACTTTATTACAGATATCTTGCTACAGGCTGTTCTATGATGGAAATTTTCGTATTGGACATACCATTGTCCGAGATGTCATATATGAAATTTGCATAGCGACTTGGGAGAACATGAGACAGTCAACGTTTCCAGAATTAAATGAAGAAAGGTGGCTTGAAACAGCAAAAGGTTTCAATGAAAATGCAAACTATCCCAATTGTATTGGTTCCATCGACGGGAAGCATATAAGAGTAATGATTAAAACTCATCATATAAGAGTAATTAAACCCAGCAACTCAGGATCACTTTATTCCTATTCACTTTATTCTTATAATTATAAGAATTGTTTCTCAATCGTTTTACTTGCTGTATGCGATGCGGATTATAAGTTCACATATATAGATATTGGGGCATATGAAAATGTAGTGAATCATCTATATTTAAACAATCTATTTTGTATCAAAAAGTCGTCAATAACGATATACCTCCCATATAGCGCCCGATAGAGCCCCATATCAAATATTGGTGTACCGATGCCATACGTCATTGTGGGAGATGAGGCATTTGGTTTATCTGAAAATTTAATGCGACCTTATGGAGGAAGGGGTTTAACAGCCAAAAAAAGAATCTTTAACTATAGACTGTCTCGGGCAAGGCGGCACATAGAATGCACGTTTGGGATTCTGGCAAACAAATGGAGAATTTTTCACCGTCCACTGGATGTCCGACAAGAATTTGCAATTGCCATAGTACAAGCATGCTGTGTCTTACATAATTACGTGCGCGAAAGAGATGGTTATAGATTTAAAGACACACTGTACGTTCCTCCAGACCTCGAAATAACCCCAGGTCCCTTAAATAGAGGGAGCCGATCATCAGCATCTTAAAGAGATTTATTTGCGGATTATTTTATCAATGAAAATCCGCTAGAATGGCAAAACCAATACGCATTGGGATAGTATGTACCTACCTACTCTATACTTTTAAGTGTATAAACAATAAACTAAAAATATATCCATAGAATAATAAAATACTAATTAATAAAAAACATAACGTACCAAATTCACTTTTTTCATTTGCTGTTAAATTGTCCTCGCACATTATATTTGTGATTTCTTCCCATTTTCTTTTCTTTACATCACGATCACTGTATTCTTCTGAAGATGTATCCCATATTGCTTTACGGTTTTCAATTTCGCGAATAAATTTCTCCGTATCGAAAGTCATTTTGTGATTTCAGTAAACAAATTACGTCTGGCTGCTACAAGTGCGCGGTGACTGACGGCAGCCACATACATTCGCCCTACTCGCTCTGGCTGCGCGCAGCCAACGGGCTGCCGTGCAATCGGGCGCGTTTTTATGGCTGCCGCAGCCGGGAGTTCGTGGCTGCTTAGTGCGCGGGCGCCCGTACACCGTCATATGTGCGACTGGCTGCCACCTACGTAGCGGTATACCTGAACGGTATACCGGAACAGAAGGCTTGTGCAAGTATACCGGAGCGTGTGTGTGACAAAACTTGCACAAGTTTCCTGACTTGCACGAGTCTGGTAGGCAGATTAAAACTACGATCTGTATACCTGCGCAAACTAGTTTGTGCAAGTATGCATGTGCGTGTGTGTCTGAACACTTCAGTCGCCTAGAACTTGAGGTGATGTTATTGTAGAAAACTTAAGATTTTCGTAACTTCTACCAGTCGCCAGGAATCTCAATGTTGCTGTTAACCTCTCATGCGGTATTATCGCTGGGCGCATTATCGTGTCATTCGTTTGTATCAATGGCGTTACTAAGGACAAGAGTTCCCAAATATGTGTTTTCATCCATACGCAAATAACTATGCCAGTCCTTCGCAGCAAATTTCAATTCATTTAAAAGGTTGGTGTGGGAATACTTATTTCTTTTTCAGTAACCATTATTTACACCATACAGAACGTTTCTTCTTACACTTCTCTTTTTTCTTAATAGCTAGCACCAAACCAACAATAGCCAAACGTCATCATTTGTGGGTGCCGGTGGCATATTTCACAAAATACTTATTGCACAACACGACTTCTTCGGTTTGTCACAGGCGCAGAACTGTGACTGCACAGCCATACATGAATCGTGTGTGGTCACTATGGACGTTAGGTATACTTGCACAAGCCTTCAGTTCCGGTATACTGTTCAGGTATACCGCTACGTATGTGGCCGCCATTAGACTGGCTGCCGCAGCCTGGCTGCCTAGTGCGTGGGGGGGCTAACTGTTTCATACAAGAAAAAGTAGCGCATCTGTCATAATACAAACGTCATATCATAACACGACGTAATCAGGGTCGGATTTCGTAGTATAATTATCCTAATTGTATAATTATTTCATAGTTTGTAGTATATAGTATCGTAATAATACAAAGCGAAAATACCATAATTTTACCTAATATTGGGTCCTTTTAAATTTTGATATTAACTCTACGATATCGAGAATTTTTGTACCACGTTTTTTTTTTAAATAAAATTAGAATAAAAGTAATGAGGGGCTACCAAGATAAAAACTCTATGCTCCAGAAGCAATCGGTTTGAAAATAGAATTTCAAAATATTTTATGAATAAGATTTTTAGATTCAATTAAGCAGATATGGTTTCTTTTGTACTCTTTTCGTTTTACCCTAATTGAATATAAAATATATTAGGTACAAACATTGAAGTAATATGTACTTACGTACTAGAACAGCTATCTCAAACAAAAATGTGCGCTACTCTGTGTTCGCGCGGTTGGTTTTTTTATCATGGAATAAACATAGGTAGTATGACCCGTAGGTTATAGTAAATTGTATTGTTAAATAGGTAAATTATATCGAGAACAGTATTTAAATTTTGTCATTTATTTTGTATATTATATTTGTTTATTTAATATAAATTTTATAAATGGTAGAGCCATGCTGCAGTTATATTAGTAGTATAGTTGTAGCACGAATGGGTCGGCTCGACCGGGGAAGGAACACGCTCTCACAGAATACCAGCGTCAAATAGTAGCTTAATGCTGCTGTGTTTCGTATGGTGAGTGTAGAGAACCGGCGACCTATTTTACTGGAAACGAGGCATTCCATCTTAGTCCTCACGGGTGACAACACATCTGCATTTTGATTCGTGATCGAGGATGGATGTAGATGTCTATGGGCCGCAGCAACCGCTTACCATCAGGTGGACTGTGTGCTCGATTGTCACCCTATCCTATAAAAAAAAATTAATATAATATTACATAATATTATATCACAATTACATTTTAATGATATTTTTATCTGAATATTTTAAAAGGTATCTATGTCAAATATAAAAAAAAAACATACTAAATGTATGTTTAACAAAACTTATTAACATAAAATTTAAATATATTATATTTAAATTAGAATCATAAATGCTGTAAATAATCGTTCATAAATGCTGGGCACGCGAGAGTTAAAAATGGACGAATTTATTCCACTTTGACTTTGAAGTGGAAACCTAAAAATAAAATAAAAGAATAGTAAGCAGATTTAAATATGAAAAATTTAGCCTAATTATAATAACTTATATGTTTCTACAAAAAAAATGTGTATAATAATATATTGACCCTAAACTAAGTACCCACAGAAATGTCACATCTGAACATATTAATTTCATAATCTATATTCAATGATACGAGATGGCGTCTTAGGAATATTTTTTTTTATTATTAATTTATAATACTTTTTTATTGAATAAGTATCTTATTAACCGATGAAAAGTAATTCCTTGGTTTTTACTGACATTTCTTTAAATTATTCGTGCAATATCTAAGTACACAAGACGGCATATTTTTTTTAAATCAGCACAACACGTGACAACTCTACAAGCGCCTAGCGAGTGACTGAGTAAAGTGCAGTGCATGCACCGCAGTTGAGTGGAACAGAGTAGCTGAATGCAGTGTCTCCTTTAGTACGTAGTACATAATAGCTCAATGGGTACAAATATTCAAAATTTAACTTACACTAAGTTCTTTAGATAAAAATTAAACAGAAATAAAAATAAAAGCGTCATAAACGAAACGTATTGATAAACTAAACGCGTGACGCCAAAATCCGGCACATGGGAAAAAAGAAACATGAAACGTGATATAATTTTTTTTAAATAGTATAATTTTAATTTCCATGTACAATATTTTGAGGGTCTGAATCCAGCCTTGGCCTAATCTTGGTAACGTAACTAAACTAACCGTGAAATAAAACTTTAAAAATGCATTTATATAATTTAATTGTAACAAAATTAATATTAGGTACGTTATTTACCGATGATACGATATCCCATCTTTTTTTTAATCTTTGTTTCGTAAATTTTGCATTCTTTTACCATGCAACTAGACATATTTGTGACAGGCAAATCTGTCCTGCCCGCGCACCACTGTCGACCGATTCGCGTTGGCCCTAAACTGTAATTTTAGGGTCAGCTGGACCAGTGCGCTGACTGCTTTTAGTTGTTCGGTCGGCCCGGTCCTTACGCTGGTAATATTATAAGTCAATTATTGAAAATGACTCGGGCAAATGTTCTGTTACGAAAAAGGAAATCATAGAAAAATGGTTTATTCGCCCTTTCTACAAATCAGTGACGATATATTGATTAAGGACGCAGACACATATTATTCTCCCACGAAATATCGACGTCTTTCAAAAAAAAATTATTCAAGCAAATGTCGACATTACTGACATGACTTCATTTTTTTTTTGTTTAATTTAATTGAATTTAAATTGTGTAGTAGTTTAATGTTTAGTACACGAGAGAATTAAATACTGAGCCCTAATTGTCTTCCGTGTACATAACTTGATTCACCAGTTTATAGAACCAAACAACAAACTAATGTCATGAGGATATCATCTCACCAAATAAAACACAAATTATTCTCGAAATTATATATTTCTACTAACTAATAGTCGGACATACATACAATGTGCCGCGCCCGCCGTACAAACAAACACACAGACAAGCATACACGCGAACAAACTTAAAAATCTAACTCTAAAATCCGTAAACGTTACCATCAACAATATTAAAAATGCATGTGTTTTTATAACCCAAAAAAGAAATGCCTACACCATGTGGAAAGATAATATGCAATATTTAATACAAAAGGGTGATTTAAAAATTATTTTTCAGATATAAAAAGCACATACATTTCCAATAGACACTGGAACTTCCACATATCATGCATTGAACAAAGCAATAACAAAAAAATTGTGAACACAACAATCAAAATGAGTCTGTGAGCGCGTTTCAAAGATTTGTACTATGTACCATTAATTTAAAAAGTAAAGACACGGTCGTCTGGATACTTGGCTGACGCGCTTAGCGTATTAGAAATGTTAGCGCCATAACGATGTGGCCTGTTTTTTTTAAACGCTCCCCCCCCCCACTAGGATTTTGTACTGTATCGTGGAGGCAGTTTACAAACATAAATTACATTAGGACTAACATCAAGATTTGGAAAAATATTAGGACATACAAATACTTGTTCCGTGCGGGATTCGAACCCGCGGCCCTCACAGCCGCATCTTATTGCTCTACGCTACTGCGTCACGGAGGCGTCTAAAAGACATCGCTTTGTCTCCGTCGAACGTTGAGATAATTCGGAAACAAAGTTATTTTAATGGTGTAATCACGTTTTTGACTACCGGTGCGGTGATTACTAGCAAAACTACAAACTTGTAAAAAATAATGATATATCTTATATCATTATTTTTTACAAGTTTGTAGTTTTGCTAGTAAAATCTACGACCGTCTCATTCATTCGGTGTAAAGACCACCATATTGGGACCACTTTAGCACAGCCTAAGAACAACATACAGTCAGTCATCGCGTTTGATGTTGCCCGAAAAGCCGACACACACAATAAATTGCTAGGGTTGTCAGAACGGGAAGTAGTAAAAAAATAAAAAACTGATTTTATTTCATTTCACGCTTAAACAAATTTCTGCGTATGTGGAAACTAATGAAACTTTAATTCTTTATCTTGACATAAGGACAACACGTTTTTTACCGCACATGTAGTGTGAATCATTTCAATTTATTTGCGTGACAGGACAACCCTAGCGGACGACTTCAATGACCAACTGTTAGTAGTAGTTTGACTGTGACTTTAATGGCGTAAAGTTCGGTCCGCCCACTCTTTAGGCACAAATATTAACACATAAATGCACAATAAAGATGGAAAATGTTTGTACGCTAACAATTTCTAAATCTAATCATCTAGAAACTCGCTCACAGATACAATTCGCCAGCATCCCATTCTATTATTTAAAAAATATATATTACATTATTATGTATTGTTAGAACAACAATCTACGATATACCATTCCATACATTACACCAGCCTTCAAGGACCTAATTACATCTGTATGTACTAAACAATCTGTAACCAATATCAAATACCTAGTTCCAAAATAGTACAATAGATGGCGTCATTAAATGTGTTCTGTTTAAACATACATGAAATAAATATTAATAAATCGAGATTGTAATTATATATAGAAAATACTTATTGTAAATCGTATGGATCAACCTGGTAGTTCTCAATCACCTATTTTACAAATGGCCTTAATATACCTACCTTCTTTTCAATAAACTTCTTTGTTTCAAAAACAAAATAATCAAGATATATCCTTGACACCTTTTCATTTTTAACTGAAACTTACGTAATAATTAAGAAGACTGCAGTCTTCTTCGGTGAATGCATTGTTTAACATTTGGTGTAAATTTAAAAGTGATTGCACTGTTTCTATATGTTGAGTTCTACGGTTGTGACATGTCCAATTTTAAATCACAGAAATCTTGTTAAATATCGCTAAAACTCGAAAATGGCTCAACTGCTTTACATGAAAATGTTTGTGTGCATTTGAGTCCCTGGATGGTTTAGATTTCAATGGGATTTGGTAAGTGGTGCTGTTGTCGAGGTCCAGAAATCACTTCTGCGAAGCTGGTATTAACTATTATCTATTGTTCAAGAGGAAGTAAAAATTAAATCAATTCAGAAACGAATCAGTTTGGTAGCCTACAAGAGGAAAAACCACCACATACTAGTATAAACGCAGAATACATTTTTATAATTAAGATTTATGGCTTGGATACTTGTCCTTTAAGCCATGTCTTCATCTCATTCGAGATCTTCATTTTTATAGATTTTCTAATGTAGATTTAATGTATTTGTAAATAATAGGCAGAAAATATTTCATATTCTTCAAAAACACAGTCAAGTGACAAGGGTCACTATTTGCGTTGGGTTCATTTTCACCGTCACATACTTCACTAGCTAATAAAAGCTGTTGAAAGTTAAATTGGCTGTAATCAAAACACGCAGCATACAATTCATTTATGTGTAGATATAGTGCACATTTTGTTTAGACACGTCACAACCGCACAATACAAAACATATATATATTTACAGTTTAGTATAACATAACTAAATCGTCTTCTCTGTAGCGAGGCTCAACATTTAGTTCTTTTTCTCTTCTTTCTTTTCTTCTTGCGGCTGCTCAGTTTGCTGCTGTTGTTGACCTTCACGTTCAGCTGCCATCTGTTGGAAGAGTTCAGAGATTAATACTTACTTAATAATTTTATACATGGTAGAGCCACACTGCAGCGATATTAAAATTAATATCACTGTTCAAAACGTAAATCGTCCCACATCACAATAATGACATAGGGTGATAACTCGTTTCAATTTATATTGCACAATTGCTTGACCAACCGCACCATGGGATAGCGTGAGCTGGCTCAAAAATGTGCATTAACTTCATTTTTTTTTATAGAATAAAATTGACAAACAGACACAGTCCTCCAGATGGTAAATGCATACTGTGGCCCATAAACATCTATATCTATCTTTTTTTTTAATAGGATAGGATTACAAACGAGCACAAAATCCTTCTGATGGTAAGTTGTTGCTGTGGCCCATAGACATCTACATCTATACTCAATTATGAATCAAAATGCAGATGCTTTGTCACCCGTGAGGACTAAGATGGAATGCCTCATTTCCAGTAAAAGGGTCGAAACACAACAGCATTAAAGCTACTATTTTAGGCTGGTATTCTGTGAGAGTGTGGTGCTTCCCCGGTCGAGCCGACCCATTCGTTCTACAACTATACTACTAATATAACTGCAGTATGGCTCTACCACGTATATCTTCAATTAATAATCAAAATGCAGATACATTGTCACCCCTGAGAACTAAGATATAATTGTCTCATTTTCAGAAAAAAGTCTCTCCAGATTTTTACACTCATCATACAAAACACAGCAATATTAAGCTACTAATTTACGGTGGTATCCTGTTAGAGCCTGTGGTCCTTCCCCGGTCGAGTCAACCTATTTGCTACAACAATAATATAGCTGCAACGTGGCTCTACCCATATAAAATGTGGTATTATTTAGATTGAAGATAATTAAAATTCATTTAATATTTAATTTTTTTAAATATTTTAGACTTATGTATATATTACAGCCCAGATCACTCCTGATATTGCCCTCTATCTATTTCTGAAGTTTCATTACATAATGATTTCTTATATTTACGCAAACACTATTCATTGCATTGATTACAACTACTTTTACGGATTTTATGGCGTTTTATTTTACAATTAATATATTACAATTAAGATAAGCCCAAACAGATAGACATAAATTTATAAATGGTTTATTTATGTCTTGGTGGCATGCAAACAGTCAATTCAACATCTCGATACTACAGACGGACATTTTAATTTTATTTATAATAAGTTTACTTATATTATCGCGCCGTCTTTGCATGTAACTGTGGAAGATAAATACTCTACTTTCTAATTTCTTACCACTTCTTTTCTCAGTCTCCCACATGATGTTGGAGCCATGGCGTAGCTTTCTTGTTTTTCATAAAGGCTATTTATACTAATATATAAAAATTAATGTTTGTATTTTATGCGCTGATACCGTAGATTGCACCAACACTTTGTCAACTTATTGCTGACTTGCTAACTCGAAAGTTATAGCCATAGTAGCTAGGTGGCGCGCGTATTACACCGTCAAATGTTTTTGAGTCATATATCATTCAATTGCAATGAATATGTTATCATTCCTAATTAAACAATATATCCCTTCCAAATTTAAAATGATATTTCCAAAATTATTTCTTTTGCGGCACCATGCGCCAGATACCAGCTGGTTTTTAATAAAATTGGACGTTGACTTTAAGACACTAACCTTCTTATACGCCTGCTCGAATAGCTTCAAGCTCGCTTGCTGAAGTTGTCCGGTGGCAGTGCGCAGTTCCTCGGGGTCAACAGAGTCCTTCTTGGCAAGCAGATCACGTAGTTTGGCAATTTCTTCGCGTAGTTTGTCGCACTGAGGATTTGAAAGATATATATTATACATAAAGGATCATAATCATCAATCATCTTTTCATTTGGTCTCAGTCCGATGGCCGATTATTTAATCATCAGATAAATGTTATTTATTAAATAAACTGTAACCTAACTGAAAATAAAAGTAAAACAATTCATCTACTTGAATCGTGTTACAATAACCTTTTCTCTTACAGTATAAGTGTGACAAAAGAGCGCACAATTCACCTGATACCAGCGTAAAAAAAGTTGCTTAATGGGATGGTGATTAAGAACAAAATATGCATTTCTTAAGGAAAAAAAAAAGTAAAATGGGTCTCCAGTTCTCTACACTCACCATATGCTGGTTGTATCTTGAGAGAATGTGGTCCCAGTTGAGCCAACTCATAATAATGCTGCAGTGTGGCTCTATCAAAGATACAAATTTTTTGAATAATTTTTATCTGAGGATTGAAATATCAGCCTTTAGTTATCCAACTGTAGGACAACGTATCGTATCCACAACGCAAAAGTAACGTGGCGGGTCGTGCGACAGTCCAACTACTCTAGCACCTTGCTTTACCACACAACTATACTAGTTGTATGGTTTAGAAAGGTGCATAATGTGAGCATTAACTCACAATATCATTCATACCATCTGATTTACAAGAAGTTCTCTTTATCCCACAAATTCATGGTGGAATCGACTAACAGCAGTGATTTTTCCAAACTGATACGACTTAGGAGCCTTCAAGAAATGAACCTACTCTTTTTTAAAAGACACCTGCAATTACCCTGGAGTTAAAGTTGTTCATGGGCGACGGTAATCACTTAAGTTCAGGTGAGCTCCACCATTACAGCCTTTTAGACATGTGTCAATGATGCATGATTCGTTCGTTTAAGCTGGTACACTTAAAAAAGTATTGACGGTTCATTCTATGTTTTTGGATGTACCAGTACAACCAATCACAAACAATTGACGGTACCTTTTTAACCCGCGATTTGTTTGAATTGTGAACGAGCCGCAAACCGACCGAATGTCGAATGATCTAAATAAACAGGCGAATCGTATTAACAATGCAGACTGCAGAGTATCAGGAGTATTTATAATAAACGACCCCCCAACTACAAAATTAAAAAAACCTAATCAGTATTTAAGATAAAAATATTTTAAAAAATTAACTTTCATTTATTCAATAAGAGAAAAAAATTGTTTTCTTATCGGTCACCTCGCTCAAAAAGAACTATAATATCAAAGACTTAACTGCAAAATAAAATAAATAAATAATTATAATTGCATAAGTATAAAAATGCTATGCAATAGCTTTACCACGCATAAGAGTATTTATTATTTAAGGGTTTTTGTAGTATAATATTGTCACCTAAATTAAAAATTATTTTACATTTAATTATATTTATTTGTTAAATCTACGAGTTACAAATATCATTTCGTAGAGTTTACTTTAAATAACACTTCGAAAGATTTTATGATAAATGATTTATTTAATTCATTGATAATTTTCAACCATCTTATATAAGTATAAGATAGGTAAATGTTTAATTTTGTGGCAAATAAATGTAAAAATTTTCGGTTCCCAATGGATCTCACAAAGCACTGGAGCCTGAAATGATCCATTTGAATGATCGATCCTAATGTACCAGTACGCGTGACGAAATGTACTAGTATGATTCGGTCGCTAGAAATAAATGATTGACACATGTCTACAGACTTTTATTGTTCATCAGCAAAACAAATTAGCGGGCCGCAATTTGTAATGAGTTTGGGAACCCTCCCGTTTTATCAAGTCCCGGTACTGTACCCATGCTATGATAATAATATGATAGATGACGGCGTAAGGCAAAATAAAAGTTCACGAACTGTCTGCCGTCCGTTATCTGTTATAGCCTGTTAAAGTCCACTACTGAACATAGTCCTCCCCCATAGATTGCCATGTAGGGGGGATATTTGCCATAGTTGCCATGCTTATCAAGCGGGTTGGCAACCGCAGCTTTTTTTACTTTTAATTTAATTATAAATCAGGAAGGCACTGCTGCCCATCTCCTGATTTGTTTCGCTGGAATGCTAATTTGCTAGCTCTTATATAAAAAATTAACATACAAGATGGTGACGGATCTCATACAATAAATGATCACCATGTTTCGTCCCAATGTGATCTGGGACTTACAAGTGTATGTGGGACATGTTTATGTGAGACCTATAATAAAAAAGAATGTGCCAACTGTATCGTTTGTCTAACACGTCGTAAATGGCAACCAATGGGATAATAGGTTTGTGATGGTGCACGTTATGGACTAGCCAAATATCTCTTCTTTCACAATTTTCTAGTTATATCCATGTTTTGGCTAAACAAGATCTGAGCAGTTCACTGCTCCTTGGACTCTGCCCACCCCTTCCGGGATTACAAGTGTGACGCTGTGTATATAAATGATACAACTTACTCTTTTTATCACCAATCAAACACATTTGGTAGGTAGTTTAGTCACAAATATTTTTGTTTTAGTTATTTTTAAACATATTATAGATAACAAAATTCCAACGGGCGAAGTTCGAATAATTCAATTTATAAACTGTACCCACAAAATTGTAAAGTTGTAGCTCTCAATCATTTAAGGTATATGTTGTTATTAGTTTCAAAACAATATGTATTTGTTTTGTTCAAATTAATAGTATATTCATTAGCCGCTTTCTACGAGGCAAGTAACACAGTTGGCACATTATTTTTTGTTGGAAGTCCCAGAACAACATAAAATAAAAGTGAAAGTAAAGTTACAGCCTATATACGTCCCACTGCTGGGCACAGGCCTCCCCTCATTTCCGAGATGGTTTTAGGGCAAGGAAGTGTCCGCCGCGTTGCCCCAATGCGTGTTGGCGAACTTCACATGTCTTCGGAATATTTTTTCTTATTCCTCAGACATGCAGGTTTCCTCACGATGTTTTCCTTCACCGCCGAGCACGTGGTAAATCAGCTCTTAAAATTGCAATTAACAATTTCATTGGTGCCGGCAGGGACCGAACCCAGGTTACTCGCGTTCTTCTGTTATATTTACAGCGAGCGTTAACCATCTGAGCTACCACGGCTCATTACCATGGCACGGCACGGCACGCAGAACAACATTTATTGTACTTCAAACGCATTTAGAGGTTATTCATAAAAAATTTGCTTCATTCAACATTTCCCTTTCTCCTATAGATTAAGGTTGACAACCGAGCACACAGTCCATCTCCTGGTAAGTGGATACAGTGTCCCATAGACATTTACATCTATCCTCGATTAGGAATCAAAATGCAGATACATTGTCACCCCTGAGGACTATTATGGTTTCGAAGTATATTGGAAATCATAAAACGTACCTCATCTTGTGGTAATTGTGCTTTGTACTCGTCCATCTTTGTCTCAGTATCGTGCAGCACGCCTTCAGCCTGGTTGGCAACCTCCACTCGTTCTCTTCTCTGCTTGTCTGCCGCTGCAAACTGCTCGGCTGCCTTCACCATGTTCTCGATCTCGTCCTTGGATAGACCGCCTGATGACTGGATAACAACTGTTGGGAATAAATACATAAGTGGCAAATATTTCTGTTGTTTTCACTTACAGGATAAGATAGGAAATTAAACTTCACAACACTGCAGTCATGTAGCCCAAACGTACAACACATTTTTGTCATGTAGAGAAAGTGAATTATGTCTTTATACTGGGTGATCTTTTTTACCGTCTGGAAAAAAATAGGGTGTAACAGATGAATGGAATAGAAGCCTATGGCACTGATATTTTACATTTTTTATCTTTCACGTTATCATATGAAACTGATCTATCAATAAATACTACTAATTGGGTGCATATTATTTTAATTTTGATAGTTTTTAATTTCGGTACCGAAAGATTAGTTCAAATTGGTAGGTAGTATTTATTGATAGATCAATTTCATAATATGTTAATGTAAAAGAAAAAAATTGTAAAATATGCCATAGGCTTCCACTTCGTTCACATGTTACATTTAATTTTTTCCCACATGGTAAAAAAAACATCCAGCTTCGAGAATAGATGTAGATGAATATAGGCCTCAGCAACCACTCACCATCAAGTGGGCTGTGTGCGCATTTGTACTTCCTTATTCTATGAAAATGTTTCAAAATTTATCAAAATAAATGTTAGCTGTAGGTATAATGTGTAGGACAGCGTATCGTTCCGAAACGCCAATAAAACGCAACGGTTCGCGCGACAATCCATTTCCTCTGGCACTCTGATTCACTATTCTGCTATGTTAGCTGAACGGTTTACGTAGAGTGCTTGTAAGTACATTCAAGTCAATTTAAAGCCAGCCAGTCTCAACAAACTTCTCTGAAGTAAGTGAAGGCCATTTGTGAAGAGCAACATTATAACACAAAGGTGTGTGTGCAAGCACATGTATATTAACATAGTCCGATGAAACGGCAATCCAACACAATCAGAAAGAGATCAAATGCAGAACAAAATACTATTTCATGTTGAATTTCTTGACAGAAAACCCCAATAATTGATTATAGCTGAGCCAGGATTTGAACCCAGAACTACATGACCTTCAGTCGCGTTTACTACTACAAGACTTTTAGTCAGTCAATCGAGACTACTCTGTGCTGAAGTATCTATCTATTTACCATCAGGTAGACTTGTACAAAAGTAGATAGGGTAGTGAAATAACGTACACCAACACCATACATTGGCAAGATTAGTTAAATCTAGAACACTATGACTCACTCTGTTGTTCTTTCCCAGTTCCCTTGTCGCGTGCAGACACGTGTACGATGCCGTTGGCGTCAATGTCGAAAGTCACTTCAATCTGTGGTACTCCTCGGGGAGCTGGTGGGATCCCAACCAAAGAGAACTGTCCGAGTAGTTTGTTGTCCGCTGCCATTTCACGCTCACCCTGGTGCACTTTGATCTCGACTTGTGTTTGTCCATCAGCGGCTGTAAATAACGATTATGGTTAATTTTATATATTTACATCTAAAAAAGTCAACGGCTAGACCTAGGTCTCTACCGCTGTAGGAAAGTATATCTTCATGATCGCGGTAAACATCTCTGATGCTGCTGCTGATCCGGATATTTAAGTCTCGAACAAAAAACAGGCTTTACGTGGTAGAACTACGCTGCAGCTATATTATGGTGGTAGCACAAATGGTCGACTCAACTTGGGAAGTGACCTCGCTCTCACAGAATACTAGTGTACAATAGCAGTTCAATACTACTAGAGAACTGGAGACCCTTTTTACTGGAAATGATGCATCGCATCGTAGTCATCAGGGGTAATAAAGCAACTGCATTTTGATTCTTAATTGAGGATAAATGTAGATGTCTACAGGCCACAACATCTACTTACCATCAAGTGAACTGTGCGCTCGTTTAATATCCTTACTCTATAAATAAATATATCATTTCTGAACAGATTTCAGGGCAAAGAAGTGTCCACTGTGCTGACTTCACATTATCTTCAATGTGTTCTTTTTTTCTCACAATATTTTCCTTCACCCATGTAACCATTGCAATTAACAATTCTCCGTTGGCATCATTAATTGATGGGATCGAACCTGGGTTGTTACCATACAGTAAAATTTACAGCAAGCACTTAGCCCTTACTTAACACAGTGGTGGTCCCATATAATTTTTTTAATATTCCATTTTGTCACTATTTAGATTGTGTTATTGCTTAGTCATTCAAAACAGTAAAATGTTCGTTAAAAAAAGTAATTATTATACATATTTTTTTACATGGAAGAGCCACGTTGCAGTTATATTATGGTTGTAGCATGAATGGGTCGGGTCGGCTCGACAGGGGAAGGACCACGCTCTCACAGAAAACCAGCGTAAAATAGCATTCTAATGCTGCTGTGTTTCGTATGATGAGTGTAGAGAACTGGAGACCGTTTTACTGGGATCGAGGCATTCCATCATAGTCCTCAGGGGTGACAATGTATCTGCATTTTGATTTTTAATCGAATGTAGATGTCTATGGGCCACAGCATCCACTTACCTTACACCCTTATCCTATATTAAGAAAAAATTAAAAATATAGCTAACTTTAAAGAAGTAAAAGAATATAATAGTTTAACATTCTGATAATGGGACTTACCATCAGTCTTTTATACTCTTATGCCCAAAAACTAAAATGCTGCTCAATTTTAAGACACTTAAGTCTCATGCTGTCTCTATAACTTTTAATCAAAGTGACTGTGATAGACGAGACTTAATGTCATCATAAAATTTAGTAGTATTTGAATAATTAACCGTTGGTCTTATAAACTTAGCCCTGATTTCAGGATGTTAGATTATTATAATAGTTTGCTTTTAGTTCTTTGGAGTTGGCTTTAAATTTTTATTAAAACCTAATTTTTTTCACCGACTTCATAAAAGGAGGAGGTTCTCAATTCGACTGTATTTTTTTATTGTGCGTTACCTTGTAACTTTTTTCTAGGCGAACCGATTTTGATGATTCGTTTTTATTTGAAAGCTGTTGCGTCTCGTGTGGTCCCATATAAATTTGATTTCAAGAACTGACCAGTAATTTTTAAGTTATGCTTAATAATGCGTATTGAATTGACTGCGACTACATTGACGATGTCACTTTATTAATAATGAAGTCAGTTGTACAAATGTTTTAATTTTACCACTCGTCTATTTTAAACAGAAATGTACACAATATTGTATATTTGTCATTGCAAGTGACTGTAGTGCGTGTAGGACAGCGTATCGTACCGCGACGCTAGCGACACGTAGCGGTTCGCGCGACAGTCCCTCTGCTCCAGCACCGTGCTTTACCCCACGACTACACAAGTCGAGTGGCTTAGACAGGTGCTATGATATATCGAGTGGCTTATACTATGCGAACACTTCAAAACAAGGTGTATAACTAGTGCGGGTGAGTACAACTAGGGATGACAATTGTTTTATTTTTTATTTTATTTATTAGGAAACTCACTGCATTTAAGATGTAACATGTTATTTTATGTATGTACCTTAACATTTTATTATAACTATATTGACAACATGCTTGTCAGATTGAGAATTTACAGAATTTAGATAAAAGAGATGCAGTTAGTAGAGTAGATGTACGAAAAATGCCATTCCCCCCCCAAAAAAAAAAAATATTGTTATGGATCTGAAACGTGGTCCTTTACTGCTGGCCGTATGAGGAAGCTCAAGGTCGCTCAGCGAGTTATGGAAAGGTTTGCTTGAAGTTTCGATGCGACATAAACTTATAAATGAGGATATCCGCAGTAGAACTAGAGTCACCGACATAACCCATCGGATTAGTAAGCTGAAGTGGTAATGGGCCGGCCATATAGCTCGAAGAACCGACAACCGTTGTAGGACGACCCGCCCCCCTAATAGATGAAGTGACGTCCTGGTAAGATATACAGAAAGTCGATGTATGCAGGTGGCTCAGGCCCGTGCTTTGTGGCATTCCTTACGGTAGGTTTATGTTCAGCAGTAAACTTGTGAAGGGCTGTGATGATGATGATATTTGTATGTGTTTGAGTGGGTTTCTAGATGGAGAGTCCAGCAACCTGTGCGAAGTCGAGGTGGATCGCTTGTAGTTCTATTTAAAAAAAAAATCATCCCCTACTTTTCCATCATTTGGGGCTGATTTTTTCTTCAAATTGAAGTGTTACCACCCTTGTGGTATATTACCCCTTAAGGCTTATTTAATAGAATAAAGAATTGTTTGAATGGTCAGCAATTTCCGAGATATCTATGAACATTTATAACAAAACTTGTGTTGAGTCTAGAACCTCTATGGAGTCAGTTCCAAATATCAATATTATAACGTCCATGGTATTATAATATGTTATCACGAATAGGAACCAATAATTGATAGAATCAGGCGTTACTTTGCGGAAATCCATTATTGGGATTAGTGGTGACGGAGTTAGTACATGCAATTGAGGGAGGGCGGGAGGTGCTCTTCAATCCAGGTAAGACACATCATTGTATTTAGTTAGCAGAAGGTTGCGAAGTAATTGATATTTTTATTTATTAATAGGAACCAAGTTTAAGACGCAACATTACTGACCGGTCGAGAACACTTGACTCTTCTTGGTCGGTATGGTGGTGTTTCTGGTGATAAGCTTGGTGAAGACTCCACCAAGGGTTTCGATTCCGAGCGACAGCGGAGTTACGTCCAGCAAGAGAATGTCGGTGACGTCTCCCGCCAGTACTCCTCCCTGGATTGCAGCTCCCACCGCCACGGCTTCGTCGGGGTTCACAGCTTTCGAAGGCGCACGACCGAAGATCTCTTGGACTGTTTGTTGCACCTGTGAAAACATTCCAGTAATGACAATCTGATTGCAGGTATCACTTTTAGAACAAGGGTAACAAACGAGTGCACAGTCCAGCTGATGGTAAGTCAATGCTGTGGCGCCTAGATATTTACATCTATCCTCAATTAAGAATCAAAATGCAGATGCATTGTCACACCTCAGGACTATGATGGGATGCCTGGTTTACCAGTAAAAAGACATTGATATTTTTAGTTTCCCGCGTATTCAAATATTTTATGACCGTTCTGGATGTTTAGGAAAAAAAGACCCATATATCCGTCCAATTGTTGAGCACAGGCCTGCTATAATTTCTAAGAAGTATCCGCCGCATTGCCACTATGCGTGTTGACTTGCAGGTTTACTCACGATGTTTACCTTCACCCGTCTTCACCGAATTGAACCAGGGTCGCTTGTGTATTGTGAAGTTTACGCTTATCCCCTGAACTGTGAAGTCCCTTACTACTAGTGTCCGACCGAAGCAAAGAGCAGCGTTAAGATACTTTTTACGCTGGTATTCTGTGAGCGTGTTTTATAGTACCTATTTAACTAATTTTAAATGCCGTTTTCAAAAAATATAATATCTGTAATGGTAAATTACTGTTATAGTTATATGAGTTACTAAGTAAAAATGAATTCAAATGACGGCTATGCTTATGTTTTCCTAATTTTTTTTTGTTGATAAAGTTGTTTATCCGAATGCGAATACATTATTAAACGAAAATTAAAATCAAAAACTCAAAAAATCTATAAAAAGAAAGCGTCACGAAAATATTTGGCAGTGCATCACTGAAATATTGTGTTTAATTTGTTTTATGTTAAATGTATTTAACTTATAAGCATGTACTAATATACAAAATTATTTTATTTCCAATTTCGTGACAACCCTTAGCATATACACGCTGGCCGGAAAAATACCTACGCTGGCGGCGGCATCGCCAGACATGAAAGGCGTTTCACAACTAAAGTTACGTGGCAAGCTTGGCTTCCGCGGAAGGTTTCAAAAACACGGCCAAAATCCACCTTTAGTCGTACACTACTTAATACCAAAATTTTATGCTTTAATTGTACTTCGCTGGTCAGGTTTTTTCTGAACCAGTGGTAATATTGTATATAACTTTCAATGAATATAACTTATCATACATATCAGATAAAAATTATTCTATTCTAAGTTTAAATTTGTCTGTGAGTTAATAACCCGAAATCGCACAAGCAAAATCGGGGAATATGTCTACAAGTTAATCTGGCACCAGTCTCTATGGACGGCCTAGGCAGCCATGTAAAGACTGGCATCGGCTTGTGCTATGGTGCTGGTGAAGAGAAAACTTCATATGGTGAGTGTAGAGAACCGGAGACCCGTTTTACTGGAATCGAGGTATTCCATGTTATTCCTCAGGAGTGGCAACACACCTGCCGAGGTTAAATGTAGATGTCTATGGGCCACAGTGTCCACTTACCATCAGGTTGGACTGTGTGCTCGTTTGCCACCTTTATTCTATAAATAAAAAAAGTGGAGTAAAGCTCACTTAACATGCTTGTTTTTGTCTGCAAGTGTCATCTTAACGTTTTTTTAAGCAGTTTGTTGGTTAAAGACAATAACTTTTTTCAAACTGCTTTTAAGCAACGAAAACCATAATTTGTTTCTGATAACGATTACTAAGGATTATTACTACTTAAGAGTAGTGGTTCATAATAACTCTTGGTAACAAAGTGATCATTACTAACCCTCTCTAAATGTTTTTTTATAGAAGAGGGGGCAAACGAGCATACGGCTCACCTGATGTTAAGTGCCTACCGCCGCCCATGAACAACCGCAACACCAGGGTAATTGCAGGTGCGTTGCCGGCCTTTTAGAAAGGAGTAAGCTCTTTTCTTGAAGGTCCCCAGGTCGTATCGGTCCGGAAAAATCGCCGGTGGTAAACTATTCCACAGAGAGGTCGAACGCGGAAGAAAACTCCTTGTGAAACGTACAGTGGTGGACCGCCAAGCATCCAGATGCTGTGGATGGTATCGGGCGGTTTGCCGCGTAGTGCGTTCATGAAATCAATGTTAATTAATATCTTTAAAAAATGGGCCACTGGGTTTCTCGCTGGTTCTTCTCAGGATTTATTTTGGGCCATAACTATAATCACATGGGGTGATAAGTGGTGATGAAGACCCAGATGATAAATTGCACAGTTTGAGCGAAACGGTAAATATCACAATACGCGAGCAACCCGAGCTCGATTCCCGCCGGCACCAATGAAATTGTAAGTTGCAATTTTAACGCTAATTTACCACATGCTCCGTGGTGAAGCAAAACATCGTGAGGAAACCTGCATGTCTGAATAATTAAGAGAATATATAATTTGGAAAAGATGTTGGCGAACTTCACACACGCGCTGGGCAACGCGGCGGACATTTCTTTGCCCTAAAACCCTCTCAGAGATGAGAGCCCCACTGGTGGGCGCAGGAGGCTTGTACATAGGCTTTAACTAATAATAGAATTACTAAACGAAATATACAATATAATGTTATTTATACTAAACTATGTTTCTTGCTCTTTTCAGTTTTATTCTGTTTTTATTCTATACCACAGTAGTTGACTCACCTTGGGCATTCTGGTCATTCCACCAACGAGCAGCACCTCGCCAATGTCAGACCTCTGAACTTCGGCGTCTTGGAGAGCTCGCTGACAGGGGCCAACTGTACGCTTGATCAGGTCACCAACCAGAGACTCCAGCTTTGATCTTGTCATCTGTGTGGGAGCATACGGTTTATTGTTTAATATAAAAATTCAATTTCAAATAGGAAAACCGTCAAGACGAGATGAGACATCTGTAAACAACTTTTCTGAGGTTTCGAGACTTTCGTTTATGGATTTATGTTTATTTACCTGGATTGCAAGAAATTTGAAGCCTATGTAATTTCATAATTAATCATCTGTGCTTGAATGGAGATAGAGGGGAGCGATGGAGAGGGGAGAAGGAGAGGGGCGAGAGAGGAGAGAGTGAGAGGGGAGAGGAGAGAGGGGGAGGGGGATGACAACTGCAGCTCTAAACTGCTTTTACCTATGAATAATTAAACTTTTAATAAGAAGTACAATAAACTTTAAAAACGAATCCACTTAATGTAGATAGTGTAATAAAGAATCACGAATAAAGCCTCAACATCAGAAGGTATCATGTGGAAATTATATTTCTTCGTAATATTTGACATTGGCTTCACTTTTTACTAAATGCCAATTATTTTACTCTTTTACTTGTACTCTGCTGTACCGGTCTTAAAGGTATAGCTAGCTAGTATAATAAAACAGGTTGTGGAGGCATTCCATCTTAATCCTCAGAGGTAAAACAACGCACCTTCTTTGCAAGTTGTCCATGGACTGCTATTTAAAATTAGCGTGCAATGCATATCAAAATGACATTTTGACATTCCTATTCCTAGTGTGCGCATCATAGTCCGAAACCCACAGTATGGGTTCCTTTCCAGAAGAATAAGTAGTTTTCTTAACGTAGTAGAGATATGCTGAAGCTATATTAATGTTTGTAGAATGATTGGGTCGGCTCAACCAGGCTAGGTCCACGCTCTCACAGAATATCAGCGTAAAATAGCAGCTTAATAGTGTCGTATTTCGTATGGTGAACTGGATACCCTTTTTTCTGGAAATGAGACATTCCATGTCAGTCCTCAGGAGTGTCAATACATCTGCATTTTTATTCTTAATCGAAAATGAATATAGATGTCTATGGGTCTCAGCATCCATTTACCATGAGGTATGGCTCCTTTGTCATCCGTATTCTATAAAATAACCTTGAAATGGCAAATGTTCCAAACTTCTTTGACCTTTCCCAGCACAAGGACTAAGGGCAGGTGGTTTTGTATTGTAATTATCTGGCACTTAATTCCAATTCAAGCGATATATCTCTTGAACAATAAAGAATTGCAGTGCATCCTAGCTTATTAGATGTAAAATTAAACTTTCTTTTGTGAATCTTTTTTAAATAGAGAAGTTGCATGTTTTTTAATGTTTTTGAGTGTACTAAATTTATTTAAAAAAATGATAAAAAACATGCAAATTCAAACGCCAGTGACATCATTATATTGCTTTAGTAATGCCACCGCATGGTGAAAAAATACAACACTCATGTTTACATTCTCAAAAGAAATTGTCATTGCGTTATATAGGTTATATATAATTTATTATGACGCATGGTAATTCGAATATAGAAAATACAAAAATATAGCATGATTGCGATTGGCTCACAACTTCAACGGATATAATGACGTCACAAACAGTCATTTTTTCATTCAAAACTTTAACTATTTTTTATTAATAATTAGTAATTACTAAAAAATGGAATTGTTAATAAAAATATATTTAAATATCATCATCATTACAGCCCTTCACAAGTCCACTGCTGAACATAGGCCTCCCCCAAGGAATGCCACACAGCACGGTCCTGAGCCACCTGCCCATCCCGTCCTTCATGACCACATTCCCACTACTTGGGTCGGCCGGACCCCCCCACCCCCCCCACCGGCCCCCCCCCCCAACCCTTCCCCCTCCTCCTAAAAAGAGGAGCAAGTGTTGCGCCCACCCCCCCCCCCAAAAGCCCCCCCCCCCCCCCCCCCCCCCCCCCCCCCGCGGGGCCCCCCCCCCTTTATTTTTCCACAGAGGACCCCCCCCCCCCCCCCCCATTATTTTTTCATTTATATACAAATTTGTGGCAAAAAATAATGCAACTTCTCTATTATTAAGGTATTTCAATATAATTCGGAAATCTTGTGGTGTAAAAAGGTTATGAACAAAATAGTCCCCAAAACTAGTAGTGCTAAAAAATTGCTATTTTATGCTGGTATTCTGTAAGAGCATTGGCCTTCACCAGTCTAATCGACCCATTTGTGCTGTAACCATAATATATTTCCAGCAGTTTCTCCATAAAAATTGCTGGTGCTTACAGAAGTAGTCATACAAGAAAAAAACTTAGAAATAACTTAGACAGTGATGGACTTTGCCAGCATTCAGGTGGTGTGGATTCATTCATCCACCAACCGGCCAAAGACCACAAAGCACGGGTCAGAGCCACCTGTATCCAACAATTTCCTTTATCGTTTTTTATCCTGGAAGTAGGCCAAAGACCGCAAAGGACGGGTCAGAGCCACCTGCATCCAACAATTTCCCTTTTCGCTCACCAGGCCGCCCTACTATCCAATAGGGCCCCCTTCACTTTCCTTAGTAGTATGAGGCTGAATCTTTCTTACTTATCGGTTTCCGGTTCTTCGAGCTATATGGCCGCCTCATTGTCACTTCAGCTTACTCGCCCATTGGGCTATGTTAGTTACTCTGATACAGTTGTGGATATATATTTTCATCAAATTCTCTCATGCAGAAAAACTCCAATGATGTGGATGGTATTGAGAATTTTGTGGAAATGTACAATGGTGAATTTTGAATGAAATTAATTGTAACAATTATAATAATAAAACATACCTTAAGGTTCATGTGCTTAGGTCCTGAAGCATCCATAGTCAGGTAGGGTAGATTGATGTCAGTTTGAAGGGAACCAGATAGCTCGATCTTTGCCTTCTCAGCCGCCTCCTTGAGCCTCTGCATTGCCATCGCATCTTTGCGGATATCGATGCCTTGCTGTAAGAAGAACAAATATATACTAACTGTGTGTTATACTTTGACCGCGTAAATACTGGATAAGAATATAGGTTGCAATGTTATTTTGCCAACTCATTTTAAATTCATGTTGAGTCAACTATTTTATAATAAGAATCAGTGTACCTGGATGACTGGACTTTGCTCGGTATTTTTTTTGGAAATTGTGTTTGTAAATTATATTTAGATACAAATGACATACTGATGAAATATAAATAAAAATTTTCGATCTTCTCGGTCTATATTTTTCGTATTTTAAATAAAATATACTAAAAATGCTAAGAAACGGGTGAAATCAGATGGTACGAAATGCTAAACGCCGTTACATTCATGGTAACTTAACCAATACTTCGACCTCTGATATGTGGAAATTCTTAAAATCTCTTGGTATTACTAAGCCACTGTCATCTGATAATAGTTCTCTTAATCTGGATGATATAAATCGTCACTTTGTCTCAACTCCTACACTGGACTCTTCTGTAAGATCACGAACCATTGCTTCTATGCAACCTCTAACTATTCCTTTTTTCGAATTTTCTCCTGTAACTCAAGATGAAATAGCTAAAGCTGTATTGTCTATTAATTCCAAGGCTGTAGGTTGTGATGGGATTAGTAAATTTATGATCAAACATTGCTTGATTTCCTTCTGCCAGCTATCACTCATGTTAATAATTACTCGCTGGACTCAGGTCAGTATCCAACATTGTGGAAAAGAGCTTATATAGATCCTCTCCCAAAAATACCCAATCCTGAACTACCAAATCACTATCGTCCAATTTCTATTCTCCCATATCTCTCTAAAGTTCTGGAAGCCTGTGTGCATAAGCAATTATCTATTTTCATAAAAAATATAACCTACTGAATAACTTACAGTCAGGGTTTCGCTCTGGTCACAGCACCACCAATGCACTTATTAAGATCACTGACGATATTAGAAAAGGGATGTAGGAACGGAAAGTTACAGTGGTAGCGCTTGTTGACTTTTCAAATGCTTTTACTAACATCCTTAAGATTGATTTACCTCAGCATAGTACTGTTTTCTTTTATAGTTCAGGCAATACTTCTCTGGAACGCCTTGCCCGTTAATATAAGAAAAGCATCGAATAAGTTCACGTTTAAAAAACTAGTCCGGCAACACTATCTTGAGGAAAACTCCAAGGCATTAAGTCCGCCCATTGTAAACCTTAGATTAAGGTGTAAAACAATAAAGATTAAATAAATAAAATGGGGCTCCCAATAATACATTTTCTCAGAAAAGAAGGAACTCGTAAAAAAAAAAGGAAAAAAGAGTCAGACCGGAGTTATTTGGACTCGAACCAGCGTTCCATAACGTCAGGACCGCCCGATATCTCATTTGAGCTGTTATAACCTTTTAGGCACCGGCAAAATTTACTTTCGTATTCTAATAATATTGTAGCAGTTTTTCATTGCCTAAAAACATGGATAAAACGATATTTTCTAAAAATGAGTCCTAGCTAGATCGATTTATTGCCCCCGAAACCACCTGCATACTAAATTTCATGAAAATTGTTGGAGCCGTTTCCTAGATTCCGATTATATATATATACAAGAATTGCTCGCTTAAAGGTATTGGATAGAAAATACAGCAGCATTAAGCTGACATTTTACGATGGTTTCCAGTGAGAGCGAGGTCTTTCCATGGTCGAATAACCATTTATGCTACGTCCATACTATAATAGCGGCAGTGCGGCTCCACAATGTATTATCAGATATTAATGTTATGAAACACAGCAGCCGTATGCTACTATTCAACCAACTTCAAAAACAAAAAGAGGTTCTCAATTCTACTACTTTTTTATGGGTATTACCTCAGAACTCTTTTCTAGGTGAACTGATTTTGTGGATTTTTGTTATTCGAAAGCTGTTGCTTCTGATGTGGTCCCATATAAATTTGATCAAGATCTGATCAGTGGTTTTTGAGTTATCCTTAATAATACGTATTTAATCGACTCTGAATACATTGATATTCTCATTTTATTTATATAGTTATCTTTCAATTATAAAGTAAAAATGGGTACATATAGACGAATGTAGCGCGATTTCTAGGAAAGCCAACGGTATGAACCGAGGCTAGCTGGTGTCGCGCATTTCTCTTGCACCGCTGCAAAAGCGAACGCATATGGACGCGAACGCTGATCGACGGTGCCAAAGTAATTAAATACTCTCTAATCTCTTTTATATACCAATATTAGGTTAAGATACTGTGTTTTTAAAATTCGGCTCTGGCAGAATATCAACGGTGAGCTCAAATCACCACATAGTTGAGTCACAGACCAGTTTGTCTCATTTTATGTTACTTAAGCACATTTTTGCAAATTTTAACTTTTTATTTTTTGTACTTTTAACCCCTCAAACCCCCTAAAAATCCCGTGCAGTCGCATGCGCCCGACAAATCCCGAGCGCTCGGAAGCGACCGCACCCACCCACAACACATTAATCCCTTAAAACTTATATTTAGAGACTACTTTTCTATGAAGAAGTTTAGCATTATAAAATCTACACAAAATTCTCTATCTTATGGTCTAAACAAAAGTCAGGTATTACTTCATTACAAAGAAATGTTATTGTATTTTGATGACAAAAAGAAAATATACAGAAATATATATATATTGAAATAATTGTGAAAATCACATTTCAATATATATTACTCGAAATTATTTACGTAAATAGATAAATTATATTCACACAAAAAATTTAATTACAATTTTAATCGAAAAACTAACACAATAACATTCACGCGAAAATGGCGTACGAAATAAACGTAGATTATAAATAAATATTCATAAGTTTTTTTTATTCTGATGATAGAGTATTTCATATTGATTACATAATGCCAAACTTCTTCATAGAAAAGTAGTATATATAAGTTTTTATGGGTTACGGTGCTGTGGGTGGGTGCGACCTCATGAGACCGCTAGGGATTTGACGGAATAAGGGGGCTGAGAGGTTAAAGAACATCCGTAGTTTGGTTTATTAATTTCTAATCACATGAGGGCATCCACGACTTTTTCTGCCACCAGGGAGGTGCCACTTTAAAGTGAGGTGTAACATTTGACTTTTTGATTTCTCATCGGGGAAGTTTTTTTGTTCAAAAAATGTAAAGGTTAATGTTTCTTTCAGTACTATAAGTTATCATCATCATAATCATTACAGCCCTTCACAAGTCCACTGCTGAACATAGGCCTCCCCCAGGGAATGCCACAAAGCACGGTCCTGAGCCACCTGCATCCATCGACCTCCTGCATGTCTTACCAGGCCGTCACTCCATCTAGTGGGGGGGGGGGGTCGCCCTACACTTCGCCTACCGGTACGAGGCTGCCACTCGAGAACCTTTTTTCCCCAACGGTTGTCGGTTTTTCGAGCTATATGGCCGGCCTATTGCCACTTCAGCTTGCTAATCCATAATGATATGTCGGTCACTCTGGTTCTACTGCGGATATCCTCATTTCTAAGTTTATCACGCAGATAAACCTGTTAGTTATATTAAATATTAATTAGATTAAAAATAAATAAACCTAACTACAAATATTCACTAAAGTAGCACAATAAAAATAATGTTAAAATGTGCAAGAAATTAAAGAGCAAACCACTGAAGTAATGTTTTGTGTATTAACATTATACATTAGAAACTGATAAACGTTTATTTAAATCTAACTTCTCAATTAAATGTTGTGTATCAAACGTCACCTCAGTGTCAACAGGCGACATCTGGCGAGCGGAAGATTATTAGTCCTCATTAATATAAAATTTTAAGTCAAAGCATTGACTGCATTTGGCAGAAAAAAGCGCTAGGAAGCGCTTGTAAGCAAAATGGCGATCGTAAGCGGTAAGCACTGTCAAATCGTAAGTAGCTATTTTCCTCTAGGACACGAAGTTAGTTTTAACCGGGGAACCTAACCTAATTTAAATATATGTTTGTAAAGTATTCATATTAAAAACTTACCAATCATGAATTTTTAATAAAATGTATAATATGCTTATTCATGTCATTATATTAATTGAAACTAATATTGCACAAAACAACTTGTTACAAACTCAAGTTAGCAAACTTGTCCTGGACGAAAACTGTTTAGTTTCGCAATTTTGCTTACAAGCGCTTCCTAGCGCTTTTTTCTGCCAAACGCAGCCATTAAGTTGTGGCTTGTTCTTATATATTACGTAAGTAACCAATACTTAAAAAAATCTATAGTTAAAATGCATTCAATTCAAATGGCTAAAAAAAAAAAACTTAAAAAAAAAAAAAAAAAAAAACAACAAAAAAAAAAAAACCTAAAAAAACATTAAAAAAAAACCCCCCCCAAAAAAAAAAAAAAAAAAAAAAAAAAAAAAAAAAAAAAAACGAAAAAAAAACAAAAAGTTAAAAAAAAAAAAAACCCCCCCCCCCCCAATTAAATGTAATAAAAATCTTATTTTCATACTCACATCACGTTTAAACTCGTCCACGAGGAAGTTCACAATGACATTATCGAAGTCCTCTCCACCAAGCAATGTGTCCCCGTTAGTGGATTTCACCTCGAACACACCCTTCTGTATCTCGAGGACGGAGATATCGAATGTGCCACCTCCCAGATCGTAAACTGCGATACTGTGGGCAATATAAATAGATTCAGACGTTACTTTGCGAAAATCCTTTATGTTTATGGCGCATAGAAAGAAATAGCAAAAATTATTTTTACTAAATGGTAGGGACACTTTTTTTTAAATTATGTGCGAGCAGCTATGCGGGTCTAGGGAAAGAGACCAGTATCACTGCGACCTAAAAGATCTATTGTGATCGCTGCTATGGCTATAGTTCACGGCTAAGCCCTATGTCTTCAATGAATAGAAGGAGTTGCTTAGCCGTGAGCAATTTCACTTCTTCTGGGCGGAGTACATAGTTTCCCAGATGAGTGTTACGTTTGCGCATTAAGGGTCCGCAATCAGTTAGGATGTGTAAAGGCGTTTCTTCCGTTATGGAACAGAACCGACACATCCTTGAGTTGACTTTCCAGATGACATGTGTGCTTTTTAAGACAACAGTGTCAGTTAGGGCTCTTGCCAGAATGCGCAATAAGGACTTTTCAACCGACATTAAAAAAGGAGCAGGTTCTCAATTCGACTGTATTTTTTTGTGTGTTACCTCAGAACCTTTTTAACTTCTTGCTATGAAAATCAATGATTTTCAAAAAATCGGAGTTATTGGTTTTGACACCAGTTATTGCAAATAGGAGTTCTGATCAGATCTCGACGTTTCGAGGTCCTAGGAAGCTATTCTGGCTATTTTTGCGATGATGTCCGTATGTCTGTGTGTATGTATGGAAACACCTCGTAACTTTTTAACGGGAGTCCGATCGAAAAGCGGTTTGCGGCATCTGAAAGGGCCTGGCTGAACTTAGATTTTCTGTGCTCTATACTCTAATCAGTTCTTCTATTCTAAAAACAACCTCGATTGTTGTAAACTGTATCACAATCGGTTAATTCGTTCGAGAAATACAGTCGAAAGAAATCTTATGTGATGTTTCAAAATAACTTGAAACATTATACGAGTATCTATCTTATCGTCTCTATGTCTCTGTGTACCACAATGAATTGGCCTAACTATAAACCAAAAATAAACGAAATATTCACCAATTTTATTTTTCAATATAATCACCATGAATACTAACACACTTCTGACATCTGTGAATCAACATCTCTAAACCTTTATAAAAATAATCACATTTTTTATCCTCAAAATGACTGAAGACGGCAGGCGGCCGTCTTCAGTCATTTTTATAAAGGTTTAGAGATGTTGATTCACAGATGTCAGAAGTGTGTTAGTATTCATGGTGATTATATTGAAAAATAAAATTGGTTTCGTTTCATTTCCTTCATTGGTTCATAGTTAGGCCAATTCATTGTGGGACCGCCTACGTATATCTCGTATCTTGAACCTGAAGCTCTTTGAGCTCAAAAACGTCGTATCAGGTGAAATTTGAAGCGAATTGCAAAAAAAAGCATTTGAAACTAGCGGTAAGTTGCAGGGATGACCTGTATAGGGTCAACCGTGTTTTCCTAGGTGAACCGATTTTGATGTTCTTTTATTTGAAAGCTGGTGCTTCTGACGACCCATATAAATTTGATCAAGAGGTGACCAGTAGTTTTTGAGTTATCCTTAATAATGCGTATTTAATTGACTTCGACTACATTGATGATGTTCCCATTTTATTTACGTTGAAGTCGGTTGTTAATTTTACCAATTGTTACACCTAGATATCTACAAAAAGCAGTGCTTGCACTAGTATAATTAGAGGCTGTAGGACATTCTATCTCAGTCCTTTTTTTATATTCTAGTCTACCTGATGGTAAGTAGATGCTGTGGCCTATAGACATCAAAATTTTTCCTCGACTAAGAATCAAAAAGCAGATGCGTTGTCACCCCTGAGGAAAGAATAAAAAGTGTCTCCGGATCTCTACACTCACCAAACTAAACACAGCAGCATTAAGCTGGTATTCTGTGAGTGTGGTCCCACTCCGGGTGAGCCGAAACCACATTCATGCTACAACCATAATATAGCTGATGAGATCTACCATGTATGCATTGTTCTCAGAGGTGACAATGCAGAAATCTGTAAGCCTTCATTGTGAAGTTGAAACAAGGTTTCCATGAGCTGCTGTAGCTACTTTCTATCAGTAACTGCGAGTTCCTTTGTCATATTTCCTACGTCACATTCATCAAAATTATGAAAAGACCCGAGTGAAGAAAAAAGGACGTCATGCCTAATGATGCCTCGCTTAGAGGCGAAATACGTGTCGATTTATCAATGGTAGTTAGGTATTCCCTTCCTACTTTAATAATGAATGGAGTAGTGGTGTCGGCATGACCGATAAGTCTAGTGGTGATCCTTCGAATTCTGTGTCCGGCCAAAATTATTAATTGTTTTTCTGTCAATTAATTCTCAATAGTAACTCAGAGTTAGGAAGTAGGTGATGTTTCACCCTTGTATCTCGATACGTAAACCCGTTGGTACTCCACCAGATCTTTCTCCGGTCGTGTCAGATTTCCTTCCCATTCTCCGTAGAAATTGGTATCCGTGAATTAAATTCGTTAGGATGTTATTTTTAATGATTACAAACCTATCTCTAATGGGAAGCCATAAAATTTTTTGGCATTTCCCATACCAAGCTGTTAAGACTCACATTTTATCATCAGATTTGTCCAGTCCGTAAGCGAGAGCGGCGGCCGTTGGTTCATTGATTACACGCAGTACGTTGAGCCCAGCAATTTGACCTTTACAAAAGAATAAAATATATTAGAACTTTAAAACTTATAACGTACTAAATTAGTTGAACTTGACATATTTAATGATCCTTTTATCATTTTTATAAAACAACTAAATAAAAGATTATTATTTATACATATATTTTTTTGGATAGTTATAAACATTAACCCCCACACTAGGATTTTCTCCTGTATCGTGGATGCAGTTTACAAACATAAATTGCATAAGGACAAACATACATACCAGAAACCATTATTCGTAGGCCATATGAGTACTTGTTCCGTGCGGGATTCGAACCCGTGGCCCCCAGCGCAGCCACTCATTGCTAAGCCACGGAGCCGTCAATAATAGAAGATACACACTACCGGACACAGGCAGGACTATTCTTGCGAATAAGCCTGTATTGTGCTGATGGACCGGGCACAGTCAAGGATACTTTCGGTCGACATTACCATTCCGTATGACGAGAAGAACCTCGTGACAGCCGCAACAGATAAGCAAACAAAATATCTGGACCTGGCTCACGAAGTGACCGACATGTGGGGTGGGTCTGCCGACCGAAATTATTCATGTAGTCGTCTCTGCGAATAGGCTAATTCCAGTCAGTCAGTCCCTCGAGTCATCTGAAGCGACTGAGACTCTGTGACGGACCGCACCGGGCAAATGCAGAAGGCGGTGCTCCTCGATACCGCCCGCATCGTCCGCCGGTTTCTTTCCCTTTCCCCCTAACCCTCGGCCGTTTGGTCTCCCCTGCCGAGGGCTTCCATCTGGTTGGGTTTTTATGTTTATGTATTTTTTGTATTTATTTTATTTGTTATATTGTATATTTATCATTTCATTTTCATTTATAATTATATATTTATGGAACCCAACCATATGAGAAAACTACATGAATATTGAATACCCATAAAAGTAAAGTAAAGTTACAGCCTATATAGTCTCCGCCTCCCCTCATTTCTAAGAGGGCAAAAATTCCGCCGCCTCCAATCGTATTGACCAACTTCACATGTCTTCGAAATATTTTTTTTCTTATTCCTGAGACATGCAGGTTTCCTCACGATGTTTCCCTTCACCGCCGAGCACGTGGTAAATCAGCACTTAAAATTGCAATTAACAATTTCATTGGTGCCGGCGGGGATCGAATCCGGTTAACCACTGAGCTACCAAGGCTCTGTTTTTGAATTCCCATAATAATAAAAAACTGCGGCTGCAAACCCTGCCAAGCGAGGAATCCAAAGCAAATATCCACTTATGAGACAATCTATGGGGGAGGCCTATGTTCAGCAGTGGAACTTTAGATAATCAAATCCCAAAGTTGTTCATTACCAGTTTCGACGGCTCCGTGGCGCAGTGGCTTAGCAATGAGTTGCAGCGCTAAGGGTCGCGGGTTTGAATCCCGTACGGAACATCGTAGATTTATAATTTATATGTAGTAGTCACGATGCAGCTATGTTACGGTTGTAACACGAATGGAAAACCAGCGTGAAAAAATAGCAGCTTAATGCTGCTCTGATTCGTATGGTGAGTGTAGAGAACCCGAGACCTTTTCTACTGGAAACGAGGCATTTCATCTTAGTGCTCAGGGGGCGACAACGCATCTGCATTTTGATTCTTAATTGAGGATCAATGTAGATGTCTAGAAATGAAACTAAGTATGAAAATAAAAATAAGTATATGGTAAAACGATTATTATTTGTTGGTTTCAGACCAGGCTTAAGCTAGAACTTTCTTAATTTTGGCAAATAAGTCGGCGTGAACTAAGTGAACTAAGTGTCAACTAAGTCACTATGTCCATTGACAATTTGCACAACCCTGGAATTGGGGACTTTGCACCTAAGACAGATTTTCTAAAAAGAGAGTTAAGTGGAGTAATGGGAGCGCGAGGAATTCTCAATGGAACACGAAATTAAAACTTTTGGAGCAAGAGGAATGGACAGTTAATTTTTTGGTTACAAATTTTAACAAGAGATGACAGGTCAAGCAAATTTCTCCGATTTTCCAGGGATAAGATTTTAAAGAATCTTAATCTTTGCACACCTATCTTCTAATCATCCTGTACATGATAGTTATGCTGCAGCTATATTGTTCGTAGCACTAAAGGGTTGGCTCGACCGGGGTAAGACCCTGGTGTACCTAGAGAAATAGCACCTTAATGCTGCTGTGTTTCATATGGTGAGTGTAAAGAATCTTGCTTGTAGGATTTTGGAGGAAAAAGATTTTAATATACTTTTCTCTTATGCGGTACATTTATATTTTAGATATTATATATTTGGTTTAAAACTATAATTGCATTTCTATTAAGAAATGTTAATTAAAATCATTTACAAAAAAACATAAGTGTCTCAAACAATAACCAAAGAAAAGGTGCAAAATAAAAAGAAGTGTAGCTTGATATATAGAACAGTTTGCGGTTTCAAACCGAACCATCCTAAATCGAGCGTCTCTTTCGCACCGTGGGAGAAACTCGCCACGCATGAGCGGGACGGCTGATCTATAGTGCTCTATAATGAAGTGAAAAAGAAAACATTCAAAACATTAAAAGAGCACACACAACAAAACGTACAAAACATGCCAAGCATTTCTACACTACAGCCAAAGCATGCGTAGCTTTCGTTATTAATATCAGTGAATTAAAATTACTTTTATATAATATTACAGCCTTATGCATTTGAAAATTAAAATGACAACAGACTGGCATGGAGTGGAGACCGTACCTAAGCAAATGTAAAGTGGGACGAAAACGGAAGTGGAATCTATGACTTCATGGAGTAACATTTTGCAAAGAATAAAGACCAGGTTAAGAGGCGCGTCCTGGGAGAGGCCTATGGTCTATGGTCAGCAGTGGACTGCCGCAGGCTGATGATAAAGTTTCCTGGATGAATTTCTACCACTAAATTTTAAAAAACAGGATGGGTACCATGGGACAATTTACTTAAAATCTCTCAGATTGGTAAAAAAATTACAAAACCATAAAATTATTTAAATAAAATTCAACTGTAAGTCATGCAAAATATTATTTATAATTATTAGAATCAAACGTTTGCGGAAATCCGAAATATTAAAAAGGGACTCCGGTTCTCTAACCTAACCATACAAAACATCAGCCTAAAGCTGTTATTTCATGCTGGTATTCCGTGAGAGCATGGTCCCACTCCGGCAGAGCCGACCCATCCATGCTAGAACCTTAATATAGCTGCAGCGTGACTCTACCATAGATAAGTTATACATTTGTTTGTGTCTATTATGATGTAATTTCTGAACCCCTTCCTGATTCAATTTATATTCAGACATTATGTTTGTTTTAAAATTTATGGCTCAGGATCTGATGAGACATTGCAGTCAAGTTAATGCTTATATATTCACAATATAATTATATAGGTTTAGTGCTATCAAAGAAAATCACAAAATCTGGACCCGATAGATGGCGCTATTGACGAATTAAATTTAGTAATAAAGATTTATATTTACACAGTAAAAACTACAGAGTAAATTCGGAATGAACCTCATCGCGCCATCTACCGGAAAGGGCAGAATAACGTCTACCATGCAAGTTAGTTTCATATAAAACAACTCACCGGCATCCTTAGTGGCCTGTCGCTGTGAATCATTGAAGTAAGCGGGTACTGTAATAACGGCATTCTTCACTGAAGTGTTGAGGTAAGCCTCCGCAGTCTCCTTCATCTTTATGAGGATGAAGGCACCAATCTGACTTGGCGAGTAGACCTTACCATCACTGCCTGTAAGTTAAAAACTGCTAAGTTACTGTACCTAAATATTATATTCCACACCTGGCAGGAGGTAGGTAGCTGTACTAATGCGATTTATATTGTAAACTTAATGATGCTCTAGGTTTTATTTTAACTATATGTACCTCAGCAATAGCTATTCATTGTCGAGCTAAAAGACGTCACCAAAGCTCACAGAAGATAAAGTTGCCAATACTGGCTTAACTTAGCAACACAATTTGTCATTTTGACTTGAGATTTAAAAAATGTAAAGGTACATATAAACGAATGTAGCGCGATTTCTAGGAAAGCCAACGGTATGAACCGAGGCTAGCTGGTGTCGCGCATTTCTCTTGCACCGCTGCAAAAGCGAACGCATATGGACGCGAACGCTGATCGACAGTGCTTTAGTATGTAAAAATATAATAATGGCTCAATATTATTAGGCCTAATTAAGTGGTGGCAGTGGTGAAGTATTGTGTTCTCGGCGGTGAAGGAAAACATCGTGAGGAAACCTGCATGTATAAAGAATAAAAATATTTCAAAGTCAAAATTAGCATGTCCGAAATATGTAGAAGAATGGAGTAGAGCTACAGACTCATTGCTTCCATGATCCCTTCAGAAATAAGGGTACACATGTGCCCAGCAGTTAGACATATAAAAGTTGTTACTAACTGTTGCCGTTACAGGCTTATTTAAGTCCACTGCTGAATATAGACGTACCACATAGATTAACTCATTGGGAGGATATAGTTGCCATGCTTGACAAGCGGATTGCCAACCATTTTTAGGGTTCCGTAGTCAACTAGGAACCCTTATAGTTTCGCCATGTCTGTCTGTCCGTCTGTCCGTCCTCGCTTAATCTCTGACCGTTAGCACTAGAAAGCTGAAATTTGGTACCAATATGTGTATCAATCACGCCGACAAAGTGGTGAAATAAAAATTGGAAAAAAATGTTTTCTCAGCCCCCCTATATGTAAAGTGGGAAGTTATTTTTTTTTAATTTCAGCCTTAACGTGTGATATATTGTTGGAAAGGTATTTAAAAATGAATAGGGGTTTACTAAAATCATTTTTGATAATGTCAATAATTTCGGAAATAATCGCTCCAAAAGTAAAAAAACAATGTGTCCCCCCCCTCTAACTTTTGAACCATAAGTTTAGAAAATATGAAATAAAACTGAAAAGTAGAACTTTATAAGGACTTTCTAGGAAAATCATTTTGAACTTGGATGGAAACAACAGTACCCACTACCGGGAGCAGTTGCAGGAGCGCGGAGCGCTGCTGGAGCGCGAACATAATGGATATCCACCTTTAAACTCATAAGTGGGAACACTTATGGACGGGAAACTACGGAACCCTACACTGAGCGTGGCCCGACACTTTTTTATTGTTAATAGGAAGATGCCGCTGTCTATCTCCTTATTTGTATCCCTCTATCGCCTCTTATGACACCCATGGGATGATATGGAGTAGTGGATATTCTGGCACTACCACCTTAATTATAAATTTATGTTAAAAAAGTTCCACTGGGTTTCTTGCTGCTCTTCTCAGAACCTGGCTGCATGTCCGAGATTTTAAATATTTTGAGGACATGCAAATAGCACGAGATCCCGCTGCAAAATCACTATGTTCATTACGTAGTGAGTCAAACAAACATTTTTACATACTTTTATGAATAGGAGAATACACTGATAATACCGCAGCCAGTCAAAAGTGGCCGCAAGTAATTTTAATTAAATTAATGTTAATTAATATTCAAAAAAAATTTCGTTCGCCTCTCTTTTAACACACTTAACGCCAAAGACCATTTGGTCGAATGTCATGGACATGTTAAATTTTTTTTTGTAAAAATGGCTTCTACTGGTCACAAAATATGCACTGTTTTTTTGTTTCTTTTTTTTTAATAGTTTTATTTACCCCTCTTTTTTTTAGGTGTATACTTTAAGATACACCGGCCTGGGAATTAATCCTAGACGAAATTTACGTTCCCAGGCCAGGTGTATCTTAAATGATACACCACATGATTTTGTAAAAAAAGACTCATACCTCACTAAGTTCCTCAAAAATCTGAAACAAAAAGGAAATAATAGATTATTTCCTTTTTGTTTCAGATTTTTGAAGAAGACAGAAGATGAATCAAGATTGCAAAAAGGAAAAACTATAGCGAGAATTGTAAGCTCTTGCTATAATTTTTCCTTTTCTTTGTTGTTACAATGAAGTGAAATTTTGTTTTATAAAAATATCATGGATTTCTCAAGCTACAACTCTCTTGATGATCTCAATTACGCACCTGACGCATCTGGTAACTCAACTTCGGAATACGATAGTGCAGATGAAGAGCCTTTAGCCAGATGGAGGATCCATCACTCGACCAACAGACCAAGTTCAACTGGTTCAACCCAGAACTTTTCTAAAGATGAAATAGTTAGGCAGCAAGTTGCCAATATTGATTGGGGTATCCCCAAAGATCATATGCCTACTGAAGACTTCTCAGGTGTGGCATGCATGAAGGATATACATCAAGGAATTATGGCAGATGGTACACCACTTGATTATTTGGAGGTGTTTATGACTTTTGATATAGTTCAAACGATAGTTGATCAAACTAACCATTATGCCTGCCAACATCTAACAGCAGGCAATATAGATGTTGGTCCACAATCAAGACTACATAATTGGAAACCTGTGACCATCAATGAAATGTATAAATTTCTAGCTCTCATTGGATGGATGGTGAAGCTACCTTGCATTCTTGATTACTGGAGGAAGCATAAGCTGTATGGACTACCACTGGTCAGAACAGTTATGCCACGTAACAGATTTGAGCTTATCCTGAAATTACGTCATTTCTCAGATAACGAACAAGACCCCGGCGATGACCGTTTGTATAAGCTAAGAACATTGATGGATAAGTTCATACATAATTTTCAAAACGCTTTCACACCTGGTAAAAAGATATGTATCGACGAAAGTCTGATCCCTTGGAGAGACTTATTATGAAGCAATACATCCCGAACAACTCCACAAATATGGCATCAAATTGTTCACAGTTTCGAATAGAAAACGATCTAGAAAACGTCAAAGAAATATGAATGAGTGGAAACAAGTTATATCGAAGCGTTTAAAGAACAGTGGCCTAGAGTATATAACAAAGAGAGGAAAAGTTGTAGCAGCAAAATCTATTCTTCCTCCTTGCACTAACAAATGCCGACTATCGTGTTCCACTAAAGTGTTTTCTGAAAAGAGGAACATCATTTTTAAATCCAACTGGGAACTGGGAACACATTAAAGACAAAGAGATTTTCTTGCGTCCTGTGTCAAACAAATTCATCCAGCAACCCGAAGAGTCACAGTCACTGTTAATAACACCTGTAAGGAACCAAGAAAACCAAACTCGAGCTTCTACTTTATAATAGATGGAAAAGAAGTTAGGGTTTGTCGGACATTTTTGCTAAATACATTGGTTATTGGTGAAGAAACTTTACGAAATGAAATTGACAGTGTATCTATTCATGCTTTGAGTGTGAATTATACTGATAAACGTGGAAAACACGGCAAACATTGTAAACTTACTGATGAAGAAATACAATCAGTTCATGATCACATAAATTCGATCCCACGGACGGAGAGTCATTACTTAAGGGCGAATACAACTAGAGAATACATAGATGGAAGTCTGACTATAGCTGAGCTCCATCGTAGTTATCAAAGACTCAGACAAGAATCTGGCAGACCAGCCGTCAATTACGACGCTTACCATCGAATCTTCAACACTGATTTTAATTTAGGCTTATTTGCACCTCGTAAAGACCAGTGCGATGAATGCGAAGCCTACAAAAACGCTGTCGACAAAGAACCATTGAATAAGCATAAATTACACCTTGAGGAAAAATGTATGGCCCGATTGGAACTTGAAAAGGACATAGAACAAAGCAAACAGATGGATTCGAATAATATAGTAACCATATTCGATCTACAGACAGTGTTACCATGCCCATTGGCCAATCGTCAGCTTTCTTTTATAAATCAAAGCTTAACTGCTACATTTCACGGTATGAGTTGCTATTTTTTAAATATTAACATTTATAAAATTATAACAAACGTCATTCTTGCAATAAATTAATTATTTATTTTTGTTTAAGGTTTCAAATATCAACGATGACACAACATTATGCTTTTTCTGGCATGAAGGTCTCGCAAAACGTGAAGCTAATGAGATAGGGATGTGCGTCTACAAGTTTCTGGAAGAACTTAGTTACAAACAACCTGATAAAGACATCGTATTATATTCTGATAATTGCTGCGGGCAGCAAAAGAATAAGTAAGTATCTTGCATCACAAGTTTATCTCCAATTAGTTGCTTGTTTGTTACTTTGATCGTCACAATTACAATATTTTTTTTTTCACATAAATGTCAACTTTAATTTCAGATTCATTTTCGGAATGTATTATTATGCTGTTAATACATTGCCCATCAAATAATTACTCACAAATTCCTCATTAGAGGACATACTCAGAATAAAACTGACTGTTCATTCCGTCATTGAGAAGAACATTAAACAGGTCAAGAAAGCAGGTCCTATATACTCTCCAGTCGAATATATAAGCCTCATCAGAAACACAAAAAAAAAAGCGGCGACAAATTTATAGTCAAAGAAATGAACTTCGATTTATTCTTTGATTTAAAGCTGTTAGCTGATGACGTCAACTTGAATCTTAACCCTCCGTGCACCATGTGGGGTTTAATACACCCCAGCCATACAAAAATCTTTGTATCTTTTCTAAACATTGTGCGAAAGTTTTGAAATCTCGTGTAGCTGGAGTTGCGACGTTGCCAGACCTCTTAGCGACAGCGGTTTAGTAGTTGCGTCGCAGACGCGGTGAACGGACGCTGTCAAAGTGCAGCTGGGTGTCCACGTAGTTCGGGACGTCCACTAAAAGGTGAACAGTATGGTGTGATAAAATACGACTATTTTTATATAAATATTTATTTAATTTGTTTTTTTATTATTTAAAATTATCTGAAATTGTTTCTAGGGCTCATTATGGCTCATCACATCAATGAAAATGCAATATTATCCGCACTTATGGAAGAAAATGATAGCGATACGGAAGAGCTGTTTCTACCTGGAAGTGAAGATGACTCGGATCACTTGAGCATTCAGTCTGAAAGTGAAAGTGAAGAGGAAGTACAGGATATTACTTCAGGTGGTGAATCTTCTTGTTCAAATCAGTTTTACACTGGTAAAGATGGCAAAACAAAATGGCAGAAGGAGCCACCGAGAACTAATGTTCGTACAAGATCAGAAAATATAATTACTCAATTGCCGGGAGTAAAGAGCCAATATAAAGACAAAAAAACCAGTTTAGAATGCTTTGAAGTATTTATTTCCAATGAAATTCTAGAATCAGTTGTGAAATATACGAATGCAAAGATATGTCTTTCCAGACCACAGCCACCAGACGGCGAACAAATAAATATTATCTATAATGAAACAACTACATCTGAAATGAAAGCAGTTTTCGGGCTTTTATTTTTAGCAGGATTGTACCGTTCTGGGAAACAAAATCTCAATGACCTCTGGGCTTCTGATGGTACTGGAATCGAAGTGTTTCGCTGCACGATGTCTAAAAATCGGTTCTCTTTCTTACTCAATAGTATGAGATTCGATGATGCTACGACTAGGGTAGAGAGAATAAAGACTGATGGTTTAGCCCCAATTCGAGACATATTCGAGCTCTTTGTTCGGCTTTGCCAAAATGCTTACACACCATCCGACTACCTTGATGAAGAATTGGTTGCCTTTCGAGGGAGATGCGGGTTTCGCCAGTATATCCCGTCTAAACCCGCGAAGTACGGAATAAAAATTTATGCCTTAGTAGATGCTAAAACATTTTACACCGTAAATTTAGAAATCTACTGCGGTAAACAGCCAGACAACAGTCCGTTTGCGTTCAGCAACAAGCCCTTTGACTTAGTTGATCGTATGGTAACCTGCATTTCCGGCTCGTCGAGAAATATTACTATGGATAATTTTTTTACCAGTCATGAAGTTGCTGAGAATTTACTGGAGAAACATAAACTAACGATAGTTGGTACTTTGAGAGCTAATAAAGCATGTATTCCGCCTTGTTTCAAACTACCACTAAAGGAACATACTTCACGGTTTGGCTTTCAAAAAAAATATTACACTTGTTTCGTATATTCCAAAGCCACGAAAGTTCGTTTATTTGATGTCATCTCTTCATCATGACAATGAAATTGATCAAGAAACGGGAAACAAGCAGAAACCGTCTATGATAACTTTCTATAATCAAACCAAAAGCGGAGTAGATGTTGTTGATAAACTTGCTAGAACATACGACGTGGCTCGCAACAGCAAGCGCTGGCCACTCACTTTATTTTTCTCAATGCTCAATCATGCAGGAATCAATGCAATGATTTTACATATGTTGAACAATAACATTGAAGCAAAGAAAACTAACAACCGGAGAAATTTTATTCGCGATTTGGGAACATCTTTGATTGAAGAGCACTTGAGAAACCGGAAAGATAACCCACGGATTCCAAGGGATTTTCGAAAGCGCATACATGGTTTACTTGGGGAAACACCTGCAGAACCACCAAAGAAGATACCAAAGTCTATAACAAGATGTTCGGAATGTGATAGAAGGAAAGATCGAAAGACCAAGTACCGTTGTGAGCGATGCGAAGTACCGATATGCTTAGAGCATGCTCACTTCTTTTGTAAAAATTGTGGTGATTTGAACCAACTTGGATCTCAAGAAGACTAATTAGTTTTAGTAATTTTTGTTTCCTACTTTGTTATGCCTCCAAAGCATAGAATTAAGAAGTTCTTAGTTAATTTTTTTTTCTTAAAGTCTAACCCATAGAACATAGTCTTATTTTAGTTGGTAAAAAGTACCATTTCTGTTACATAGCCTAAAGATATAATAAATGTTTATATTTGATAAATTTATTTTATTTTTAACCTCTTATAGTCAAGGGATAATAATAATATACACATTACAAATTTACAATAAATACTAGCTATAAAAACGTGGAAAGATTATTGGGTCCAGGAAACCCCACGTAGTGCAGGACGTAACTTTTATCCACGTGGTTCACGGAAGGTTAACAAAGATATTGAGAGAAATAATATCAAATTATCCGAAATGAAAGCCATAAAGTTCACAAAAAGTTCAGAGACATACCAATTCAGAAACAGCTATAAATCAGTCATCTGGACAAAAGCGAATGTCAAAATAGGCCGGACTGCTAATGGAAAACAGCTGAAAGATATTACATTAAATGTGTTGTACACTTTATAAAGACTTTCTAGGAAAATCATTTTGAACTTGGATGGAAACAACAGTACCCACTACCGGGAGCAGTTGCAGGAGCGCGGAGCGCTGCTGGAGCGCGAACATAATGGATACACACCTTTAAACTCATAAGTGGGAACACTTATTGTGACCATATATTTATGATGACGATGATTGATTTATTTATCTAGTTCAAAATGTTTGTTTTTGTTTTTTTATTACCGCTAGTTTATTTCAAATTAGTAGTATTTATTGATAGTTCAATTTCATAACATGTTAATGTACAAGCATAAAAATTGTAAAAATTGTAAAATACCAGTGCCATAGGCTTCTATTCCGTGCATGGGAACACATATTACAACGAAAAGTTGCCGATCCCCGATCGGAAAAAAGAAGACATTCGTCAACTGATTGCTTCAAACATTGTTCCAAAATTCTATGAACAATTTTATAATGGTTTATTTTAATGACACATTCCAAGAAAATGTTTCTTGTTAGTTACGTAAAATAAGGTACTGTAAGTAAGGATTAAGAAAATATTACTTAAATATACGATTTTTTCTAAATAGAGTATTGTTTTATTACACAAATCATCCAAAAAGAATGTGTTACTAAATTCATAATTACAAAATGATTTAAATTTTGGTGTACAAAGGGCAAAAGTGCACATCATAATATTATTTTTTTAAATTATAGTACAAATAATAAGTTATTTACTCCTGTAAAGTACCTACCTAAATTCGCAAAAGCGTAAAGCTTAATTCACTCAAAAAATATATATGACCTAAAATCAATTTAAGCAGACAAACTCGATATTATTCTACAAAAATCTTAGAATGTCTCTAGTGAAAAATTACAAAATATGCATTTGTGCCCTTATTCCACCGATGGTGCGATATGATGATATATTTCTGCCTGTGAGAAAATAGCCGCAAATTAGGAGTGCTATCTGTTAAAAACGCGAGATATCAGAAATAAAATGAGAGAGAGTTAGCGCGCAACGCCACTTGTTAGATGAGGATGGCGAATGCCAGCTGTGTGAGTATTTAAAGCCATTACGCATGCGTCGATAGTGTTCTCAACAGTGCTACTGAATTATTATATTATAACCACGTTTTGGAGCTCGTTATATACAACGCTGTTGATATTATTTATTTATTAACATTGATCAATGAGTTAACATTTTAGAAAAATGAAGTGTTTTTTGTGTAGTAAAACGAATAATGTATTTATTGGATTTTAATAATTCATCTTTTAAGAAGTGTTATTCAATGTTAATGTTTCGCCGCAAAAAAAATATTTTGATATAATTTTAACCGTTGAATCTACTGATGATTTTGGATACCATAGGGAATGTGTGAAAAAAATAACTGTGTTAAAAGCAAAAGATTAGCAAGAAATTGAGGATTTTTGTAAAACTCTCACCGTAAGCACATTTTTTTCTTGAATTCAAAAATATATAAGGTTATAGTTACTGCATGTAAAAATGGGACGACTTAGTATTTTCTAGTAATTTCTGAGGTATTACATTGTTCAGGCAGGTAGAATTTATCAGGTAGTCGGACGTTTTGAAAGGGACGATGAAATCATTCGGCTGACTTGAAATATGGACAATTCTATTTTTGAGAAATGTCACATTTAAATTAAAAATATATTGAATTTGCTGCTTATAAATCATGTTTAAACTAATAATAAACATTTTAATATTCCAAGCATAAATTAATATTTATGAGTGTATAAGTAACACACGTAAGAAAATTGAATTTCTAAATTATTTAATAAATTTCTGCATGTGCACATTTATCATTTTTGGCAAATGTAAAAAGAACATTTGGTTATGAAACAATATTTATTTTTTACAGATTCCAATGCTGTCTTCAAATCTCGATAAACGAAGTACTTCTCCAATAAGTAGGGATGTAAGTCATAAAACAGAAATATATGTGAATCTTTTTTTTATTTTTAATCGGATTTTCTTTTTAGGAAGAACCAAGTACTAGGATTGACGATCAACCAACTACAGTTTTGAATGACGAACAGCAAAGTACGGCTGCTTTGAACGATCAACCAACTACATCATCTGCTGTTATCGAACAACCAACTGTTTCATCTGCTGTTATCGAACAACCAACTACCTCATCTGCTCCCAAGGATAATCATTCTCAGTCTACTTCGACGTCACATGACATTATTTCAACCATAATATTAAAAAGTCAGTGTCTTTTTTGCGGACATGTGGAAAAAAAGGTTGGTAAACGTCGTGCTTATGTTATTTCCACAATCCGAAGCAACCGTTCAAAAAATAAAAGCAATAGCTGAAAAATTAAATGACAATGAAATCCTTCAAAGGCTAGTGAACTATAAACCGATTGCTTATCACTCAATTTGCTTCTCAGCGAATCAAATGGCGCTGAAGCGACAAGCTGAGGAACGTCCACAGCCGACAGATTGGCATAAAAATAGACAGTTGCATCAGTTAGCTTTCAACTCTCTTTCTGATATCATAAAAACAGAAATTATAGCTAAACAACGTGTAATGTACCTCACAGATTTATTATGTCAATATAAATCCTTGCTTATAGAAATTGGTCGATGTCAAGTATGCACTGAAGATTTCCAAGATTACCGAGCTGAAAATTTGGAGGGGAAAATTTTCAATGCTTTTGGCGATCGAGTAACAATTGAGTTATCGATGGGTACACCGAAAAAAAAATCGTCTATCTGCGTGACATTGACACCGCGCGATTAGCTAGTGAAATCGTAATATTGGAATCAACGCAAAAAATCGTTCTCGAGACGTCGCTTATGAATTGCGGAATAGCATAACATCTCTGCAAAGTACTAAGCTACCGGAGAAGAATTTGACTGCGTAGGATGTCATTCGTGGAGAATGTAATATTCCCGAAGACCTATTCAATTTCATGTGTGATTTAGTACAGGGCCCTGATATACGTCGCAAAAATTCCGATGAAGACCTCGTAAAAATTAAATCAGTGTATAGTGATATACTAATTTATATTGTTTCTAAAGGTAGAGTAAAACCCACGAAACATCTTACCCTTGGCATGTCGATGAAGTCCATGACAAGTTCAAGAACAGTTCTCACCATCTTGAATAGTATGGTCATACCATAGGCTACAATTTAGCTGAAGAAATCGAGACTGAAATGACGTACAGCTCTCAAAAAACGAATTGCATAATACCTACTGGAATTAACAGTGAATGGACTGAGCACGCATGTTGCTTTTGATAATTTTGATCACTTTGTGGACACATCTACTGGAAAGGATACTTTGCATGACACAGTCGGTATCATTTATCAGTTTCAAAGCGAAAATCATGAAGATTCTGACAATGATTCAAGTTCGGGTTCATACTTCCATGCAGATGACGATGAACGTCTTCCTCGCAAAAGACGGCGTTTTGAAGCGCCTACAAGAAGTATAACTCCTTACATTAAAACACCTTTCACAAGTATGACGTTTCTTCCAACGGAGGCTATCACGGGAGCAATCAACGGATGTCATTCTGAAAGGACCATTGCAAAAGATAAAGATTTAATTTGGAGCATGTCTTTGTTTCGGGTTGATTCAGTACCTATGTGGTTAGGTTATAATTGCAAAAATGGCAATGATCACAGCAAAATCCAAACAGTTGTACTATTTACCACCAATAAACGATTCTCCGACATCACTAGCTGTTGTTCAGGAAACTTTAAACATAGCTAAGAAAGTTGTGCAGAACTGCCATCAAGAACAGATTATTGCCACGTATGATTTAGCAATTGCCAAACTAACAATGCAAATTCAATAAACCCAAAAACCTAAATTTGATGTTTTTATAAATTTAGGCGCATTTCATACACCCCCCCCCCCCCACCCCCTTTTTCCAACCAACCCACACCCCCCCCCCCCAACCCTTTTTCCCCTTTTCCCCCCCCCCCCCCCCCCCCCCCAACCCTTTTCTTTTGCTACCCCACCCCCCCCCCCCCCCCCCCAACAAACACACCCCCCCCCCCCCCCAAAAAAAAAAAAAAATGCAAATGGCATATTTTAAAGCCATTGGAAAGTATATTGAGTCCAGTGGGTTAATGGAGATTCTCGTTGAAGCACTAGCTCTAGCAGGAGGATCAACCAACAGCTTCTTGGACAGCAAACATTTTAATCGCTGCAAGCGGCTACATCCTTTGCTTTCCGGTGCTTTACAGGTTCTCCACTTCGAAGAATATTTATCACAAGCAAAAAGAAGTTCTGAAACATTGGATGAAGATTCAGACGCGGAAAATGGAAATAACTTTTCCGACAGTGAAAATATTTTTGAGACATTGAATGAAGATTTAGAATCAGTTATGAATAATTCATGTGAGGTCAATGAGCGCCTTGCTTTGCCTGACTCACTGCAAAACTTGCTTAAAAATTACAAAGAGTTCCGCGAAGAAACACTCCGAGGGGGCCATGGAAGGACAGCTCAATATTACTTGCAGTATACCGAGCTTGTCAACTTATATCTTCGATTTTCAAGAAGTATTCGCTGTAGTAACTTTGAGCTTTACCTGGATTCAATCTCTAAAATGTGTGATTACTTCTTTGCCTTCAACCTGCCGAATTACTCAAAATGGGCTGCCATGTATCTAAATAATTTAATAAAGCTAGATTGAGAATTCAGCTTTGATTGAAGAATTTCGTGAAGGCGCATTTGGTGTTAGACGCACAACATCTTGTCTAGGGAGATTACCAGTGGACTTAACCTTAGAGCAGACAATAAATGGTGATGTCGGTAATACTCTAACTGGTGTTAGTTAGTCACTTTACGAACTTAATATGTGCAAGACAGCGATGGGCTTTCAGTCACAGCATCAGGACTAAAATATTGTCATTTGTCAAGACCGAAATTGGGTTATCACATGCAGATGCTACTTCTCATTCGTTACAACAAAGTCGAATTAGAAAAGACTAGCAAACGTTGAACATCATAATTGAAGTTTTTGGGAAAACTATGAATCCCTTCTCTAAAGACATCGACACAGATAGCTTGTATAATATTTCTACTGGTAAAGCGGCATCGATGAATGTCGCAAATTGGTTACTCAATATAAAACCATTAGGTCTAGAACAAAAGTTCAATTTCTTTTCCGAATGCTTTGAAGATTCTAAAAGATTCGTAAGGCCAATAAAACGTGATAAAATATACAACTTTGCTTCAGACTGTGTGAAAAGAAGTGTTAAGAGTACTGTGGGAGATAAAACAATTATTAAAATGGAACGAGATATTTTCGGACGACTGTTAGAAATTGCTATCGATCAAAAAGTCGACATTGAGTATTGCCTATCATTTCCTCTTGCACCTATACCTCCTGCACTATTCAGCTGCTCAGGTGACATGCTGAAGACAGATAAATCTGCTTTGAGTAAACAATTAATGTCCAAGACTACACCAGCTAATCCTGGACAAGTTGATATAGAAATTATTGATGGTTTTTATTATATTTATCAAATCGGCTCTACTTTACCACAAGCTTTTGGAAAGCTAGCTGAATCAATATTAATGAAGTTTTGATGTAAAAATGCTCGTGAAGTACATTTAGTATTTGATCGATATTTAACACCTTCTATCAAAGATTGTGAAAGGCAAAATCGAGAAGGTATCGATATACCGTATACAATCAATGATCCGCTGCAATCAAGACCAAGTGATTTTTTGAAAAGTTTGAAGAATTTTCGCTTTAAAGAAGCCCTGGTTAAATTCTTGAGTATTCATTGGGAAGACAATTCTTGTGCTTCAATATTGGAGAACAAAAACATTTTTATTACTGTTGGAGAGCAATGTTTTTCATATTGTTCTGTTGGAAATATTGCTGTAAAAAATGAAGAACATGCAAACTCCACGCATGTAAACATGAGGAAGCCGACACAATAATTGTATATCACGTGAGCAAAATGCCGGAAAATTCTAAAATGTTGGTGAGAGCAACAGACACTGATGTACTTGTTATTTTATTAGGTAATTTGTACAAATTTCCTAATTTACAAATTTGGTTGGCAAATACTACATCAAAAAGAGGTAAAGGAAATTATGAAATCTGTATAAATTGTACAGATTTATGGAAGCAATTAGGATCATTTAATTCGTGAGGCAGCTACTTATGCAGCCCCCCCCCCTCTTGCTATCGAGTCCGCAGGCCGAGAAACTCTCACTCGGACCCGCCTAATAAACTATCAAACGACCTGAACTGCCTCCTGGCGGCTCAGGCCAACTCTAATTAAATTAAATTATTATTCACAATTAATTTGCCTTCGTAGGCACTCCCTCAGCGGCTCGTAGGAGCCTACCGCCTGCGCCCCGTTTTCCCAAAAGAGGGTCGCTCACGATAAGGCACAATAAAGCTTAATCAGACAGTTGCCTGTCCCTAAAGGCGGTTTTTAGAGGGCATCACTTAGGTTCCCCGGTAGGATGTGAGTCCCTCATAACCACGATAGACCGGCTATCGTGGTATGCGTAATGCATTTTCCGCCTCCCTACGTATAGGGTAGCACTTTATTGGCTTCGGGCGCAAAAAAAAAAAGGAAGCAATTAGGCCCAACTGTATGTCTTGCGCTTCCAGCATTCCATGCTTTTACAGGCAGTGATTATACGGCCGCTTTTTTCAACAAACGTAAAGTTCTAACTTTCAATTTATTTTTGAAGCATGAAAAAATTCAACAAGTCTTCGCGACGTTAATTGACCTGAACGACATCTTTGATGAGGACAAAATAGAAAGTGTTCAAGAATTTACATGCCGAATGTACGGAATGAACAATTGCCAAAGCGTTAACACTGGACGATTTATCATGTTCAACAAGATTTATGCGGCAAAAGAGAATAATGAAAAATTCATTAAAAAAATCAAAGGCTTAGATTCAACCCATATTTTACCGTGTTGGAAGTCATTAAAACAAAAGATGCTACGCACCATTTTCGTCAATTATATGTGGCTCAATGCTACTGAGTTCGACTGTTTAAAGTTTAGTGCGGAAAATAATGGTTGGCTTTTTTTGGATGGTTTCCTGAAACCAACATGGTTTCTGGGAAGTTCAACTCCGATACAAGTTGAAAATGTGTTATGCAACTCAGCTAACAAATCTTCAGATGATGAAGAACATTCAGATTGCGACGGCGATAGTGACAACTGCGATTATGAAAGCAACGAGGAATCGGACTTCGACTAGATAATAAGAAAATGTAATACACTGATAAAAGATATAACTCGATTCAAGAGACGGATTTTGAAGTAGCTGATATTTTGAAGTCAAGGAAAAAATTCTTGAGCCAAGAAAGTATTCTTGGTCTGAATTTATTTTTCTGGGTTCAAGAATTTATTTTCTTGACTCCAACATATCAGTTTCTTCAAAATAGTTCTCTTAATTCAAGATTAATTTTCTATCAGTGTATGTATTGTATTAATTATTAAATGACTTTTATAATTTTTTTTACTTTCTAAAAGTTTGATAGAGCTTAAAAAACTGAAGGGTCAACTCTTTTCCTAATTTATTTTTTAAATATGCTGGTTTTTTGAACTAATATTCAATGACTAATTAATAATTGTATTAACGAACTGTAATAAAAACTAATATTTCTTCAAATATATATTTTGTAAAAAAATAAGACATAACCAAAATTCTATACTTCATAAATACGCTTTATTCATTTTTACTTGATCAATAAACAATTTTTTATTATAAAATAAATTTCTTATTATTTTCAGTTTTTTTTTCCATAATATTCATTACGTTATTACAATTTTAGTATATACAATTGTAATATAGTGATACTATAGTTTGAGCCGCCGGGTGAGAACCCTCTATCGACGCATGCGCAATGGCTTTAAATACTCACACAGCTGGCATTCGCCATCCTCATCTAACAAGTGGCGTTGCGCGCTAACTCTCTCTCATTTATTTCGGATATCTCGCGTTTTTAACAGATAGCACTCCTAATTTGCGGCTATTTTTTCACAGGCAGAAAAATATCATCATATAAAAAAAAATTAGCTTTAATTTGATATAAAGAACATCCGTGTAAGTCATAAACGTGTAAATATATCAAAATGTTACCTGCTTACACCTGGCTGCGAGGTAGTTGCGGCCGAGTGTGCAAAGGCACCTATGGATTTTATAATTCTTTACATGCATTGTTATGATGTGGATGATATTTTATTTAAAAGAGAGGTGAACGAAATTTTTTTTGAATATTAATTAACATTAATTTAATTAAAATTACTTGCGGCCACTTTTGACTGGCTGCGGTATTATCAGTATATTCTCCTATTCATAAAAGTATGTAAAAATGTGCGTTTGACTCACTCACTACGTAATGAACGTAGTGATTTTGCAGCGGGATCTTAGACTAAAAGTCTGAAAAATGTTATAACAGTGCTGTTGGCGACGCGCCTATAAAAATGTTTCAGTTTATTAAATCAACCGATGACGTTGCTATGAAAAAAGGGGCAGTCACGAGCAACGACGCTCTGATAAGAGAATGCTTAGTTAAATCTTTAAGAAATGTCGAATTAATGATATGAAGGTCTTGGGTTCGACTCCCAGGCCGGACTAGTTTGTTTGTTTTCCTAAGTAATATCGCTTAATAAATTCGTAAGGAATTTAAGATATAAATTATGTTACCGGATTTGTTCCCCGGTTGAAATCATCTTTCAAATGATGTAAATTCATAAGAATATTAAAGTGAAGTTAAAGATCGGATTTGTTCCCCGGTCGAGATAATCACTCTGTGCATAGGCAGAATTAATGGATATTAATTGCATAAATGTTGTTTTGTATAAGTTTGATACGTTTTGTACGAAAACAAATGCCTATTTGTTATGATTGATTAATGAGAACATTCATTTATATTGTTATCTGATTAAAGATAGTTTCATACAGTTCGAAAATTGTATAAAAGCATTTAATTTGCCTAATATGGTCAAAATTGGTGTATTTCATAATTTAATTTTTTCTGATAGCCGAGAGCCGTGCAAAGTTAGTTGTTCACATAGCGTGAGTACACGGAAGCACGCTGGCCACGCCCTTAGGAGGCCGAATATGTAAAAATTTAAAATGTTTGTAATTCAGTGATTTATGTAAAAATTACTTGTAAAATATTTCAGGTCAATTGTACGTGCTAAAAAGGTAAATTCTGTGTTATTTTCATGTGAAAATTCCTGTGTATAAGTGAAATAATGATAGTTTTGTATAAGAAATTTAAAAGTGTTTTAAATAGTGAAATAAATAGAAAAAATGTAAATTAAACTATTGTATTGGTTAGCTTATGTATAAATTCAAGTGAGAAACATTGTTTTAACTTTCTGTGTTAAATATTTAAGAAATTTCGATTTCGAACTTGTGAGTAAAATAGGCAGTTTTCGTTTAATAAATAAAAGGTTTTTTATGATATGAAGATATGATGTATATCATGGTGTAGATATTGTTTTGTACTACCTATATTGATAAATTGTATTTGTATATGATTTGAATAAATAAAGATATTGAGTGAAACGTGAGAGAGTAATAGTACAAATTCATGTAATTAAGTTGCGCAAGCGCGCAGATGGCGCGGCTCACTTTCGCGTTTAGCTTAGGGGTAGGATAGTAAATTGATTTTATTGCAATTCGTTCGGGAATCGTTCGGGAATGGTTCGGGAAATATTCAAGGAAATCGTTCGGGAATGGTTCGGGAAATATTCAAGGAAATCGTTCGGGAAATATTCAAGGAAATAGTTCGGAAATAAATAAGAAAATCCGGGAAAAAGTTCAAGAAAAGTGAAAAACCAGCAGTATAGGGAAAAGTGATTACTCTCTCACGGAACGGTTTGAAGATAATTGCTGTTTCATTCCCAAGATCCTTTAAGTTATACAGTCCACATCGAAGAATTAAGGCGTCGGGACCGGGACGACTTCGGAAGACCCGTAATCCCCGTCTGAACCTACTTGCTGAAAAGGAAGAGGTTATCGCCCTAGTGTGTTACTCCGTTGCGGAGATCACATACGTTGTTCCCGAACCCAACGTAGGCGTGATAGGAGGCCGGATCGAGAGAAGCCTCGATTCCTGTTTCTTAGTACCCGATCCGCTAGGTCCTTTTCAATTGGTCCTTTTCAGGATCAAGAGGGACACCGACCTGGTCCTTTTCAATTGGACCTTCGGAGCCGGATTGAAGACCACCCGAACCCCGCCAGCTGGATCAAGGAACCAGCTGTGGACTGCTGGTTGTGGAAGAAGAAGACCTTCGGAAGCCGAGTGAAGATCAGCAACCGAAGGAAGCCAGAGGTTTGAGCTGAAGCAATAGGACCAAAGGCCTGAAGACCAGGACGGCAGCACTGAAGGGCTGGACCTGGAACTACCGGAAGAAAGAAAACCGGGATTGCAGCTTGGGGCGTGTGCTCGCATGGGGCACATATCGCAGCCGGGCGCAGGTGTCTTGTGAAGGCACTCATCGTGGCCAAGCAGGGCTTGGCATTTTTCCTGTCGGGCAAGCGTGCTCGGCATTTCCTGTCAGACGATCGTGTCTGGCATTTCCTGTCGGACGACCGTGTCCGGCATTTCCCGTCGGGTCATCAGGGTGCAAAAAGCATCCACCGCTGCTGCTGCCGGGCGAGGGTGCGCGTGGGCACCTGACTGCATCGCGGCCGGAGGAGGGCGCTTGGACGAGGCGTCACCGGCAACTGGGCGGCGAGCACAGCATACATCCCGACCACCTAACGGTGCCAAACGGTTGGGCTCTGGCATAACACCTTCGGGTGGAGCAGTTCTCTCGAGCGAGACTGCGCTTGCACTACCGCTCGACTGTTTCGTCATATTCCTTGGCGGGACAGTTCCTAAACCTTTCCTCCATTCCATTCCTGCACGACTCCATCCCTGGACGGCTCACCTCGGTAGGCCCCGTTCAGGATTGATAGGGCTGATAGGGCTGTTAGGGTGGTAGTAGGGTTGTAGGGTTGGGAGATAAAGGGGGGAGGGGTAGTGGTGTTAGGTTGGGGTGTAGAAGGGTTGTAGGTAAGGGGTTGTAGGGACCGTAGGGACTGTAGGGACAGTTAGGGACCGTAGGCCAACAATCACCTTCCTGCAAGATGAAGAAAGCACAAGACCAGACAGGGAGAAGCGAAGGGAGCAGGACAAGGACAGGGCTCTCAAGAAAAGCTAAAGAAGCGGAATCATCTGGAGCGACCACAGCTACTGCGTCAAATGGAGCAACTCCTCCAAGTGGAGCCACCACAGACACGTCCACATGCACGTGGGACTCAGGGACGTCCATGGCAACGACAAGCAACCGGACGGACACCAGTGGTACACAGGCCAGCACCGCACAACAATCCGTTATATCCAGGAGTGAAACGGTGGTCGAAAAAGTAGGTCAAAGGACCGAAGAAGCGGCATCGTCAAGGACAGTAATCGGGCACACTAGTGATAAAGGGTCACAGAGAGGTAGTAGGTCATCGCGATCGGCGAGGCTGAAAGCCGAATTAGAGGCGCGGATTAAATTCGAACGCTCAGAGCTCGAACGAGCACAGGCAGCTGCTGCCTTAGCCAAGTCTCAATTGGAGTTGGCACGACTCAACCGAGAAGAGGAAATCGACTCGAGTGAGGATGATGAAGAGCGGAATACTCAGGTGGAACCTTTCGTAAGGAGTTGGGTTCAGCAAACCATAATGAGCGCGCCGGTTAGTGTAGCACAACCCGATATTACTGATAAGGAAGCGTGTAAAGGATCACGCCGCAAAGGGGCGGAGGTCGAGCGCAACCTAGGAAATGCACAGAAAACACACGCGAGTGAGGTGTCAGAATTGACCGAAGCGATTGTGAGTGCAATAAAAATAGCTGGTAAAGATAAATCTTCCCAGCTTCATTTCCTCCAGGAATTACCGGTGTTCGATGGAGACCCGGGTGAATGGATAATTTTCAAAACGGTGTTTGAAGACACAAAAGGCCAATTTTCAGGGGTGCAAAATGTCGCACGCCTTAGGAGGGCATTAAAGGGCACCGCTAAAGAGGCGGTTAAGTCGCTGTTATTTACTTTATGTGAACCTGAAGAAATAATGAACGCTCTCGAAAGAAGATTCGGTAGGGTTGAGATGCTCATTCTAGCCGAAATCGAGAATGTAAAGCGTATGCCAAGATTGGCAGAAGATTGCCGAAATATAGGATCTTTTGCAAGTCGTATTACGAACGTGGTTGCCAC